ATGTGCCGTGTAATGTGCACCTCTGCCTACCCGTTCGGGGTTAAAAAGGCGTGATGTTATGTTATGTTAAATATGTTCTATAATTATTTTATCCAAACGTGGATTAATGCTCAAGCCTTATCCGTATGAGAAGAGGCGTTTGGTCAGCATAGGCCACTTATAAGTGGATGTTTTAGTGCTACCGAAATGTCCAAAAACCTAATAATACTTTGGCCGATCGAATCCAAGCCATGATTCCTCACCTCACTCGCCAATCACCCTTTTCACCTGTTCTCAATGCAAAAACGAGAATTTTCGAAGAAAAACTAAAAACTCAAATCTTCGCTTTACCCAACTCTTCTGATAAACAAACCAGGTATACATCTTCATAACTATTCCATACACACAACGTTGTCTGGTATTGATTTTCTAGGCATATACTTGCGAACATAGTTACATATTTCGATACCTTTCTAAGAATACGAGACGACTCCTACGTTTTAAATATTTCGAAACTACTAAAAAAGGTACAAGCCTAAATTTCCTTTATTTTCTTAATTATTCTCCTATGTCACGTCCATTATCTTCTCATTAATCAAAATAAAATATAATTAATCCATATTTACTCTTCTATGCAAAAAAATCGGGTCGTACAGTTTTCGCTGTTGCTAAGATCTAGAAATGTCGGAGAGTATAAAGTTCACTAGATATTTGAGAATACACGGGAGTTTAAATGTGCGAGCGTTAAACTAGCTGTTGCCCGCGGTTTCGTACATCTAGGTGTTTCGGTAACCTTTAATTAGGAAGATCTTTTCAACGTGTGGTCAATGGGAGTGACAATAAAATCAAAATAAATGTCTACGTCACAAAATAACACATTTAACAATGGGAGAGCCATGACTCAACTGGAGATACACTACGGCGTTAAAAAATACCCCAATCGAAGGCCAAATCTCTTAGAGCCCCAGCCCCAGTTCTCTAACCCCCAAAGGCCGAATGCTCTTGTGACTCCTTTTGGTTGGGTGTGTCCATGAGAGGGGAAAACATTAGAGCTTTTTAAGATTTTTAACCCCGAGTAGATAAACAGCGAGAGGTGAACATGTTCAATGTGAAACCCATTTTACACGAGGTCCCGTTTTTTATGCCATAAGCCAGTAAACGAGCAGACTGATCACCTGATGGTAAGCAATCGGCGTCGCCCATGGACACCTTGAATACCAGAGGCGTTACAAGTGCGTTACCGGCCTTTTAGTGAATTGAACGTGAACAAATTCATCCCACAAATTCTGAAATAATTGTTACGTCATCAACAGCCTATAAATGCGCACTGCTGAGCAAAGCCTCTTCTCACACGGAGAAGGTTGGAGCACTAATTACCACGCTTGCTCAATGCGGGTTAGTGATAACAAACTTATAATTGGAAATTATAAGCCTAGGTTTCCTCACGATGTTTTTCTTCACCGTTTGTCAGTGGTGTCCAAATAATCTTCGAAAGTACATATAATTTAGAAAAAGTCACATTGGTACTTGCCGTTGGTAGTTTTCGAAACCGCATGCATGAGAAGCGGGCGTCTTAAACCTCCAGGCCACCACGACAATCATTTGTTAGATACGTATTACATCATAAGCATTCCATCAACCATTTGTAAGTAAGATATTATTTTAATACTGTCTGACACCAAAATACAATGAATCTATATAAATTAAATTGTCTTTGTGAAATGTGACTGTGACTCCTCTGGTGTTGCGGGTGTCCATGGGCGGCGCTGATAGCTTACCATCAGGTGATCTGTCTGCTCGTTTGCCTCCTATTCCATAAAAAAATGTAATATTTTTCCTTACAGTCAGATTAGACGTAGAAAAACAATTCCTGTAGAGATTAGTGGATTTTTTAATATTCAATAATAAGGACGCAATGCTTTTCAAAATAGAATTTAGTAAGATTATAAAACTTTATTACAGGTGGTTATGCTATGTGGATTCCAGATTAAGTGGGAATCTAGTAAAGCTATGTACTTAGGTTATTATAAGTTGTTTATTTCGTGGGCTCTACTCGTGTACTTAGTAAACTGATCCGTATTACTCGAGGCTACATAAACCATAATTAGAAACCATGGGTGTATTAAGAAATATAAGAACAACATATTTTCTGCCTTCAGGGGTAAACAATGGCGATATATGGCCGGTATTAATTATCGGGATCTTTTTCGTTGTAGTTATTTCTAATAATTATACCCTGCGGGTAAGAGATAAGATGTCATAGCCAGTCGTGGAAAAGAGGCTTATTTATATCCAGCAGTAACAATAGGCTAAATAATGCTTAAAGATACCTGGAATTATAATTATAATCCTTACATAGATACGTACTACAACCTACAAGTCATACAAAATAACACCAGTTTATTATATGATACACTTTTTCTTTTGTTTTCTCTACAAGTTCGCCCAAGCTGAATAGCTATATCCAGCTCAGCCGCGCCACACAAGTATAAAATGAAGACAGGGGGTTGTTTTAAAATATGGCCCTACACTAGGTTATACAGCTCTGTCATAGGTGCATTTACAACCATTACACAAACCTCTTAATAAATGAAATGAAATCGTTTATTTGTAAACATAGGTTATATAAAGTTGTTTAAATGATTGACAAACAGTGCAATACAGCGAGTCCGTCTATGTTTTGTCTTGAAGCATACAAATTCATATGAGTATTAGTAAATAGATTAATATAAATTCAGAAAACAAAAATAGATGTATGTAGATATCCTGTAGATATTATTTCTGTAGTTTTATTCCTGTGTAGATACTTAAATGACTAATAATAGTCATTTAAGTATCTACACAGGAATAAAACATTTGTAATGGGGGTTAAACCACTGAACCATCGTCACTTTCGAGCTTAAATCCCTAATGCGGAATATTATGTCATAGATTTAATTAGGGATGTCATAATAAATACAAAATTACATAGAATCCAATGTCAATATGTATCAAAATTTAAGAGGTCAAATTAAAAGAAAATTAAGAGTATAGAATGTCATATGTACGTTCGACATAGGTGCATCCATGGTTAATCTGAATAAGTTCACCCAAGATAGTCAGGGTTGGTCATATTTTTTGAAAAAACCAAACATTTACATATATTGCAGATCGGATGTAGCAGACCTAACATCTTTCATCTAAATAGTCATTAATTTTATAATAGCAGTTAGTTACCAAAAATTCATGTAGGTAGACTTTTTTAAATATATTAATATTGTCAATTTCTATTAAGTATGTCTTTAGGTAATTTCTTAAAGATTTTGGGTGCCATACCTAAAATGTTTTTGTTGAAGATGGCTTTCTTATGTTGTGTAGCGAAGATCCTATATTTATGACGTTTACTTTTTGGGTGGGTGAACAGGTGGATGTTAGTTTTTAAGTTGCTGGCAACCTCAAATATGTACCTATAAAAATAATAATAATAAAATAAAAATAAAGATTATAAAAAAACATTACACACACACTTCGCACCAAATCCCGAAACAACAATTTTATGTTGACCACAACAGAACTGAAATTATTCCTTGTGGGAATAGTAAACGCGACACGTTTTGTAGTGGCTGGTCCTCCAGACAAAGCGTCAACCGTGCAATTAGTGCTGTACGTATTATCCATGCCATACATAGTAACAGTTTCTGTACTTAGACCATGCCTTTTTCGTTACGAAAACAACCCTGTTGCACGATAATAGGAATTCTTTTCTCAATCTCACATAAAAAAGAAAAGAGCGTTTGTTACCACACTTGCTTGGCCAATCAGGTAAATATAAGTACCTATATTCTATTCAGCACTCCTACAATGTTTTATCCATGCCAAAAAATTTAACATTTTTGTTTCCAGCAGACCTCTTATCCGATTTTGCTTGGAAAGTAGAGAGGCGCGCATCGAATACAATTTCGAAGAATCGGCAATGGGCGAGTCGCTTGTTTGATTCTCGCCCTAAACTTAGAAACTGGTTTAGAAACTAGGTTACTTAGACACCTGTACTGAAACACTATTGATAATCTGTTCATTAACCTGAAAGGTCTTTTCTAGTACTATTAGCAACAACAAAGCTAACGGCCCACCTGATAATAACCAGTTACCATACACTTTAGTACACTTGCCTTGCAACACCATATAAATCAAAAATGCGTTACGAACTTTGTAGGAAACTTGAGATGGCGCAAGCGGGTTGATTTTTTTCATTCAGGGGGCTTACTCTTGAATGAAATGAAAATCCCCAAATGTCGGTAAAGGAATTGTAAGTGTAACTATTATGGTCAAATCAAAAGTACCCTTAACCGACGACCATATATGATAAAACTGATGACTGTTGACACTTCGTCAAACGTTCGTCGCGAAACAGGTAAATGAAAATCGTAGCAATTGATCTTCCACTGTCTCTGCCTACCCCCGTGGGAGAAAGGCGTGAGGTTATGTATGTAAATATGTAGGTAAAACTTTTAAGTGTGGAAGTATTTATAAATGTGGGAGAGCCATGTTTCGGCACGAAAGGGCCGGCTCGACCGGAGTGATACCACGACCTCACAGAAAACTGACGCGAAGCAACGCTTGCGTTGTGTTTAGACCATCCTCAAACTCCTAAACTAAACTCGCAAAAGGTCGGTAACGCACTTGTAACGCCTCTGGTGTTCCAGGTGTCCATAGGCGACGCCGATTGCTTACCATCAGGTGTTCCGTCTGCTCGTTTACCGGCTTATGCCATAAAAAGAAAAAAAAAATACTTTTAACAGTATCCAGATTTTCGCTACCGCAAGGCATATTCTTGTTAAGCACATGGTGTTAATCACAAATAAAGAGACTGATGAATAACAATGTCGTTAATATGGCGCTAGTATTTTTTGGAATAACTCGGCAAAGGGGCAGAAATCACGCCTTGACAAATAAATTTTGTTGGGAGTCGAGTTGTAGTGCCGTATGTTTGCATCCTGAAATGCATTTGCGCAGTTGGGACCCTTGCATCACGGGGCTTGGCGCAGCGCGGCGGTACCGCAGAATCGTCGAAGCTACCCGCCAGTACTGACGTAACTCAAAGGAGGAAAACGTATTTTTGTGAAAATGGAAGACATATGACATTGGCTTTAGTCCTCTTCGGTTCCCCACTGCTATCTGAAAGCAGTGGGGAACCTTCACAAATCGGTGAGTACCTGCCTCTTAACCAATTTTTGGAATATTTTACAGTTTTCTTCAATTCTACATCACATCACCGATTTTCTTAACATTCGGAGACCGGAGAACGGAGAGGGAGGGGGGCGGTAGCATTGGTGGCGGGCGATGGCGTCTGGCGTTGGGTGGAGGGAATAGGAGATGGGGACTTATTGATTCGCAACGTGGGACGTGGGTTAAGATTAAAACAAAAACTCAGTGTCTTTATTTGATAACTGGTTTATAGGTACTAGATGGTTTTCTTAAGCAGTAGGTATTTGCCCCACACCAATCCAGCGCACTTGAATCAAATGATTTTATTTTTACTAACATGTGAATTATTCTGTCCACAGTCGCAGTATTAAAGGAGGAACCACCAGATGGAAAGGCGACGAAGGGGGCTTTACTAGTGTAAATGCAAGCACCCCTTCATGATCTATGTAGAGACCCTCGAATCAAACTGCCGGGATACCCACACTGACACCAGCTGGGATATATGGATCTAAAACTACAACCATAATTTTCAATCAAGCTGGAATCACAGCATTTTCTGTAGTTTGCGAAGTATCACATCGCGGGGATGTGTATACAAATTATTCATGTAGAACTCTGTCTCTATCTATGCTATTATTGTATTGTGTAATGTGTCTCATGCAATAAAAAGCCCTTGAATGACATTATTGTTTTATTTCAAATAGAATACAATACCTTATCTGCACACAAACACAAATATTATCACACACACACACACATATACAATAAAACACAACAAAGAAACAAACATTCATCCATCTATCCATACATTCATACACATACACACACACACATACATATACACACACAAGCACACATACATACACACACACACACACAAATACACGCGCACACACGCACACACACACACACACACACATATACACACATACATATACACACACATGCACACATACATACACACACACACAAATACACGCGCACACACGCACACACACATACACACACACACACACACATACATATACACACACATGCACACATACATACACACACACAAATACACGCGCGCACACGCACGCACGCACACACACACACACATACAAGAAAATACAACAAAGAAACAAAATTCCATGCATCCATATATACACTTATACACATACACACAAAAGCGTGCGCGCATACAAAAGAACACAGACGCACATACATGCACTACACATATGGATGAACCAAAACACATTACTAACATCTAAATATTTTTCTTTACAAGTTTTTCCTCACCAGATGGCGCGTGTGCGGAATTGAAACCTCTAGACATTCTATATTTAGTTAATTAGGTACTCTTTAGTTTTTACTTAGTTAGAGTATTTAAGGATTGAGAAAACTTCTTAAAAAAATGGGCAGTGTGATAGGTCAGGTAAATCATTTAAACTACTATAAATATGCTCTTAGACCGATTTTTCAATTAATTGTAGAATTAAATTGACAGTTGACAGTTTTAAGTATAGAAGAATGCCAAATATGCAAAGTATGCAAACTTAGTCCTCCGACAAAATTTATCTGACGTTGGAAAAATCGGCCCGTTAAAGAGAATTTTCTACCAATCTGATATTTTATTAATAAACAAACTTAACAACACTACTTTTAAGTACTTCCATACCTTGTCAAAAGTACAAATCACAACCAATTTAGACTGAACCTCAAAAATACTCTATTGGTTGAAAATTGCTATCAGTCGATCTTCGGTATTAAATGACATCTATCTATACATAGGTATAATAAAATCGTAGAAAAGTGAAAACAGTACATCGAATATTTTTTTTAAAGAATGCTTTGGGCGTGATCTACCGTCGATACCACAAACAAAAATATGATATTTAGAATTTTTGTCTGTTTGTCTGTATGTATGTTCGGGATGAAGTCAAAAAGTGCTACATGGATTTATTTCAAATTTTGCATGAATATTACTAACATGTTGGGTCGACATATAGGCTTTATATTATCATGCTATCAACTACGGGGGAGAAGCTGTGAATCACTATTCCACGCGCATAAAGTCGCGGGCTCACCTAGTTAAGTATTTAAATAATAATTATTATTTGAGTTAGTTTTTGGAATACGTATCAGGTTTTAGTATGGGGGGGGGGGGTACTAAGAGTAGTAGCTATAGTTCTCACAACTCTACAAGTATCATTGCGACAAACTGAAGGTTTCCTGAAAAAGTCATTTGTCAGTGTCTCTTAATTTGACAGTTATTGTGACAATGACAGGGTTTTATTTATAGCTCACTAGCGCCAGGTGGTTAAAACATTGATAATGTTAAAATAAACATCACCGATTTGATGATTATTACTAAAGTTACCTAAATATTATTTCAACTAAAATATAATTTAAAATATGACTTATTCAAAATTACAACAAGGCGTCAATGTCAATATCTCGATTAAAATCGCAAATAGAAATCGATACCATTTTCCCTCAGCTCTAAATCGAACATTTACTATAACTCATACAATTCAAGCAGAATCGAATACTTTTGCCACCTGTAGCGCTGCTCTAGCTATCTCTGCCGGGGACACCGTAATTGGTAGCGTTATGTAAGATTCAGCGCACACTGAGTTGATTTTAATGTAAACCAGCAAGTTAGTATGTTACCCCGACTTTGCTTGCGTTCGTATAAATATTGTACCTACTCGTGTGAAGACTGGTACAAGTATTAGTAAGTACTACTTAATATAAGATAACATCACGCCTTTATCCCCAAAGGGGTAGGCAGATGGACACATTACGGCAGTTAATGCTGTACAGTGTAGCACTGGCTTTTCACTATTTAAGTTATGAGTCCCTTGTAATGGAGGGTGAGCCTATTGCCATAAACCAGGCACAATTCCCGTGCAAAATAAAATAACAATGTTGTGTCGTGGTGGCCCGGAGGTTTAAGACGCCCAGCTCTCATGCATGAAGGTGCGGATTCGAAACCTACCGACGACATACGTACCAATGTGACTTTTTCCGAGTTATATGTACTTTCTAAGATTATCGAGACTCCACTGACAAACGATGATGGAAAAAATCGCGAGGAAACCTGGGCTTATAATGTTTAGTTATAAGTTTGTAATCACCAACCGGTATTGAGCAAGCGTGGTGGTTAATGCTCAAATCTTCACCGTGTGAGAAGAACCTTTGCTCAGCATCAAGGCTGTTGATGGGCACAATTCCAGACTCCGTCAAAAAACCCAGTAATTCTTTGCCCGACCGGGGAATCGAACCCGAGACCCCTTGCACGGCAGTCGCACTTTCGACCAATGGACCAACGAGGCAGTAAGTACTAATCATAGCGTATAAGCGTGAGTACAGTGAAACTTGGTTAAGTGGGACCTGGATAAGTGAGAAACCTCCATAACTGGAACTCATGCTGAGGTCCCAACACTTTGGCACTGAATTACCTCTGTTAGTGGGACTAGGTAAACCTCTATATCTGGGATTTGTTCTTTCGATTTATCATCATAGTTACCTCTATAACCGAGACAGCGAGTAAATTTTACATGCATAAACCTCTGTAACTGAGATAGCTTTGTTTGTTTACTCATTCTTATTCTACCCACAAATTCCACACGTAATTCCAAGTCCACCTCAATTAATGGAACCCTCTGTAAATGAGACATATATTTATTTATACCTGTGTATCTGAGACACTGGGTAAGTGGAATACCTCTATAAGAGAAACGATATTAAAGGTCCCTTGATGTCTCACTTAACCAGGTTTCACTGTATATGATAAACTATAGAGCTGCATATACTGACATTAATTTATGTAATCATGACTTTTCCTAACACACAACAATACTGCCTCGCTGGCCGAGTGGTCGCTAGTGCGACTGCCGGGCAAGGGGTCTCGGGTTCGATTCCCGGGTCGAGCAAAGTATTATTGGGTTTGTTAAAAAAAATATCAGTAGTAGCACGGAGTCTGGAAATGTGCCCGGTATATGGCAATAGGCTCACCCCCTATTACATGGGACTGGTAACATAAATAGTGAAAAGTGGGTGTAACTTCTGTGTGCACCTTTGCCTACCCCTTCGGGGATAATAAGGCGTGATGTTATGTATGTACAACAATAATAAAATCTCCTCTAAACTTTATGCTACTTACTGGGACTTTTTTAAATTGAAAATCAAATAAATATTAATTTGACCGTGACGAACTCTCATCCACTGAAGAGTGGAACTAAAGACACCTCGCTAGACAGTCGCAGACTCGCAGTAATGTAGGTATATTTGCACAACGCAGCTAGATTAACTTACCTCACCTCACAAACCAGCGGTGAACTCTCCTGTAGTAAGAGAGGGTTTGCTAAAGTTTCTGCGTATGGCAGGCCAAGTGAAGACTTGGCGATCGAATATTAAAAAGATCGATTGTCGACGTGCTCCATCGTAGCCTCGTAGGCCACATCATTGCTTACCACCAGACGAGATAATGGTCAAACGTAAGTCCCATCTAATCCTTCCTAATATTATAAATCAGAAAGTGAGTTTGTTTGTTTGTTCCGCTTTCACACCGTAACTACTAAACCGATTGCTTTGAATTTTTGCAGATGTACAGTTAGAAGTCTGGATTAAATAATGGGGTACTTTTTATCCCGGAAAAATTTGATATTCTCGAGGGAAAACTAAATTATTGGTAAGAATAGATGACGCTGTGTGTATTGGTAGGTATATGTCATATAAGCTATTTTTTATCCTTTTGTGACGCGAACGAAGCCGCGGGTAAAAGCTAGTATATAATAAAAGATCAGGTTCATTGGAAAGCTCGCGCTCTTAGAACTCCAACAGGAGTAGAAGTGATAACAAATATAAGATGATTGCCTGGTCCGGCAGTGTGGTGACCTATACGAGCCAAGTTATACAATTAATGTAGACAATTAAAATATAACTACAACGGCAACTACCTACAATATGATTGCACCAATTTGAATAGGTTCTAAGCATCGTGAGGAAACTTGGAACTATATTTTCAAACCTAACTTTGAAATAACAAATTCGCCTTGAAGCAATCGTGGTGACCTAATTACTTTTACCTACTTATCCGTGTGAGAAGACGTCTTCGCTCAGCAGTGGGCAGTTAATAGCCTGATGATGACGAATGACAATGATGTAAATAATAATATTATCATCCTAAGAAAAGGAAAGGAAAATATCAGATAAGTAAAAGTATTTAGGTATCACCGCGCTTGCATCAACTGCCAATCTGGAACTCAATTCAACTGGTTGTTGAACCGCCCGTCTTGCGAAAATCAACCGCTAAGTTTGTAGGCGATAATCGTAACCGCGGCGGTTGCGGGAAAGCAGAAAACTGCGGTCTCGTGAGTTTTAAAACTTCCACCTCCATTCCACCATCGCTACGGGCGCGCGAAAAAATCACGCCGTGAGTCCTTAGATTTAGACTTACGAATGAACACACAAAGAAAACTATTTTCACTATTTTCTTTGTACCATCGACACAGATACTTCAATCATAATAGTTTAGGTCTGTTGCATCGCAATTGACATGTATTTTATGTCACATTAGGTACAGCCTACAGCTGACCATATTTTTGAGTAACAAGAGGTCATTATTACATGGGATGAATCCAATCTAGTGATGAATAGCCTTTTCGACTTACTCACATAATAAATATGATTAATTAATTAATGAGCAAGTGCAAACCCGCACTGCAAAAGATTAGACTAACAAACATAGTTCGTCATTACAGAAAATCAACAAAAAATTGTTTCTCCACATACTAATCTTACACCCGTTGTTGATTTCATAGCATATTTATGTTTACCGCTGCCTACCCCTTGAAAAAGTCCTAACGATCCTAGGTCCTCAAACTCTAGCATCCATCTGGTTAGTGTGCGCCAATCCTTTCAATTCTATAGTATATAAATCATCTCGCCCGCTGAGAGCCAATGTGACCTATATACGCACACAGGTGGGAGTTAGGTATAGACTGCACTTGCGCACACAAGGTCTGCCATCAATCAATATAGCGCATATCAGCCCCGGGCGAAGCTACTCGAATCTCGCTCACCGCCCCACCCGGCACTAAGAGCCGAGGAGCGGACCTTGTCGGACGGGAGCCCACTTCTGCAGTTCTAAGTAAACAAGTAAGTGCCTAACTTAAGCTTAGGGCTTCTATACTTCATTGTGTTACCTACGCTCTAGTAATCAAGTGTTTTTGTTGTGAAATTATAAATAAAATCTTGTGTTTCTTTGTCGTATGTGGTTAGTCCAGCCAAGGTCGCGTAGGGTGTTGTATACCCATTGAGTGTCCTCGTTGAAGTAAAGATAAGCAACCAGCTCAGCTCTTTTGCCCCTGCAGATTGGTCCCAGGCGCTATATTTGCGACTTATAGTAAACAGTGCTCTTTCTGGTGACTTCAGGTACACCTACTCATCATGTCGGTGGTGGCGCTGGGGATGCGTCGCAAGGCAGGGAGCCTGTCTCCCACGATGGACGTGGAGATGTCGCAGAGGCCGGTCGACACCACGCTGTGGTGCGTCTGCGAGGTGTGCGGTCTCCGCATCCACCCGCTGCTGCGCACCAACAACACCCCCATTGATGTCAAGAAGCCATCGAACTAAATGCTACGCGTTTAGACACAATGTTCGCTATAATTTTCACTTCTCTCTTCGACCCCTAGATTGTCCCATGAAATGAATGAATTACATTATATCAACCTTCCTTAGATGTCCTACTCTTTCAATTAAACCCTCTTTAGTTCAAAAATGGTGTTTTATTTATACTCATGGTATCGATTTGCACACACCTACACATCCACAACCCACACTCTGGCACACACGTAAGTAGGACAAAGAGGACATAGACCTACAAACAGAAGCACTGAATTAATCCTGGGTACTTAGGCACCTGTGCACAACCATACATTACTAAATCCGTACAATGCAATTATGAAGATCAATTTTTTAAATCTTCATTTAACAGAACACAGATTCCAAGAAGTATTTACGAACCACATTTAAAAAAAATTAGGTAGAATGCATAGAATAACACAGCCACACAACACTTGAACAAGGGAACAATATAATTAGTAACAATACCCGAATCTAACTAGTTGCCTAGTCATTAGGTACTTATAATAGATAACAATGAGAAGTAACAAATTTCTTATTACTGGTGATTGGCATAACTGAATCCCAGTTAACATGTCAACATCACAACACTTAAGTGCAACAGGTAGGTACAGATATAGGTCCCCCTATACTTATTATTCTCTGTAGATATAGGCAATGGGCCTACCGTATTTCTGCTAATGTGGTGCTCTCGTTTATTGTCCAATAGGGAGTTAGCTAATGTCACATCATTGGACGTTCAATATTTGATAGCTGCTGTGATTGAGTAAAAAGTTCTTCACTTATATGCTTAGCAGTACTTTACCCAAAAGTAATGTTCGGTCTAGCCTGTTATGGAAGTAAACGCTTTGACTTTGAGCATTGTCACATAATTGAGTACATGACTTGATTAATACATAATTAACTGAATTGTAGTAGTTACATGTGATTTTTTGGTAAAATTGTAGTTAAGAGTGTGGTGGATGCAAGGACTTGATCTAGAATGCTAAACAGATTTTTTGTAGCTCATTTGAAACTGATTGAAAAAGAGTAGGTAATCTATGAAGTTTCTTGCTAGTTCTTCTTCATAGGAATCTACAATTTGGAACGAGCAAATAACTTCATTAGAGGACTGACCGACAGACTGTCAGTTTTTGAATATTTCAATATTTTGTTTTGACGTTCAAATGCCTTCCTGGTCTAATTGAAATAAATGTTTTTGACAACTTTGACATGACTAATAAATGATAAAGGTCAGTCTCCTATCCTATCCTAACTGGTCCATGCCAATGCCTGTGTCAAGTACTTATTACTTTAGTTACAATGACTGTACCACCTTGGTGTTTACCTAACATTGTTTAAATAAATTTCACAAGTAAATGATTAGGGCCGCCTTGTTAGGGCAGCACTGTTGACCGATGAGCTTCCAGTAAAGAAAGGACTTGTAGCATTTTTAGTTAAATATAATAAAACAAATGGATGAGCAATACATCGTTTATTACGTTTACATCAAACACCAAGATTTAGATTAGAAGATAATATTTAATTCTAGAAAGTTAGAACAAAAAAGAATAGAAAAAACTTTTAAATAAAATTCTAAAAAGTATAAATTAAACAAACTGTAACTTACAAATGCATCTTCTTAAAACCTATTTGAAATTGGAATGTAATTTAAATAAAGATCATAAATTAGAGATTAACAGTAGGTAACTCAGAACTTTACTCAGAAGCAGATCCTTAGATTACTCGGAATATCATAGACAATAATGTTAAACACAAGTACATTGATTACATTCAGCATTGCCACTACAAATACTACAATATTAAAGATCATAAGTTATATCAATATATACTTATCTTAATACAATATTCATAAATATTAAAAAAGGTTAATATTTTGCGACTTGTGCGTTCAATTTTTGCCATGTTCTACTGAAGCATTGATATGCTATCCAGCGACAGACTTGATGTTAAAAAAATTACATTAATTACCTGCCTTGGGGATGAAAAGCCAAAACCCCAAGACATATTAAATTTTGTTAAATTTCAAATGTTAAAATTAAATAATTTCTAACTACTTTATCAAAACTTGGTTCCGAAAAAGGTTGGACGGCCTCGTATCAATAATAACCACCGAAGTTTTTCAATTCCAAGATATTGATATCTTTTATATCAAACGTAAATACTAATTAGAACGCTCACCTTACTAAATAATATAAATACAATACTAATAATATACATAAATACATTTGGCTTATAAATGCTTAATAAAGTCAGCTCGTTTTCTTAATACAGGTAACATTTTTATTTTTTTTATTGATTTTTTCACTTGTATATAAAATTACTACAGTCTAGTAAGCAAATAGCAGTCCGTAAAATCGTGGGTTAAATAGTAACATACATTCAATGTCCTACGTCCTACATGTACTACACTTATTTAAGTTTTCCCTTAGTTATAATCTACATTTGAAGATATATAATACCAACCATTTTAGTGGTGTGTGTAAAATACATTGAATGATATTCAAAAAGTAATATATTAGATTCAAAAAGTTCATTGAATATAGTCTTATTTGTTTAGAAAAATAGTTCAAAATTATAGTGGAGCCAAAAGGAAGACGCTCTGGTCCTTACTTCGAACCTAGAATTGGATACGTACAATAATGTATATAATTTAATAATAATTCCTGTTTTGGAAGCTCTAATTCCCACCATTCTAAGACTTCATTATCAGTCATCACTTAGGTCTATAACCATAAATACGATCACTCTTTAGAGCAAGGTAAATAGACACTTACGCAACACTACACTAACAATTAGAATAAATATGAATAAATACTGAAGGAAATTCTAATTTAATAACATTAATGGAATAAATAGCCATATTTTTAATCATTCGAAATTCTTTGCTGTAATAATAGCATATTAAAAATGCTTAATGAGTACAATATGTGGGTATATTATACATCTTATAATATGCTTCTTTTTATTGATTTTTATTTATAATTATAATATCTGTTTTTGTAACGTAAATCCTTACAAATGTCCTGAAATGATTTTCGTGTAGACATAAGACGCACGAAGTCAAGTCAAAATACACATTATATGAAAGTACTTAGATTAAATATTCTTGAGAGTGCTACGTTTACAGGGCGCGAAGACGACGGATAAGACGACCAAACAGAAGTTTTAATGCATACCATATGACAAATACAGTTATAAATATTATGTCCAACACGATCACTAGGCCGTCACACATGTAACCGAGAGTTTCGTAGTAACTAATCATCATCAGTGGTATAACTATCGCCGCGACGTACATGAGCAGAATAAGCGTTTGACTTAGGGATAGCATATTAATGATGTACTCATATCTATCCAACGTTTTATAAACCAGTCTATTAATTATAATTACGGTTTTTCGCACGTACAAACGAGCAAAACCGATGGCCCAGTCCTATATGTTTATTTCATCCGAATTGTCCTTTTTGTTTCGTCGGTTGCGGCGGTGTTTGCTGTTCGACAGGATTTCGTATGCTTGCTGGATCTCCATGAAGCGTTCCTGAGCAGCCCTGCGTTCTGCCTCGTCCTTGACTTTGTCAGGATGATTCTCCCGAGACAACTTCCTCCAGACTGACGTTATTTCAGATTGAGACGAATCGCGATTAACTCCCAGCACCTGTAATATAGACACAATTTTTTTTCAAAAAGCAATTAATAGAAGTAACAAAATCAAATATAATTTTTAAAGCCCAATAACATCCAGCCAACAACGAACCAATAACGACAACAACACAAATTACTATTAGCGCTACCAACATAAAAATGACAATCATAAATTAACAATAATTGGCGTGAACTGCGTTCATAAGTTCCTAAAAAATGAAAGAATGAAAAAGAAATACCAGTTTTTAGATTCTGAAAAGCACTTTTCAAGAACCTTAAAAAACATTTAAATTATAACAAAAAAAACACATTAAAACAATGCAAATGCGTGCATAGTATGTTATTTATTTGTTACCGCCTTTAATCGTTCATAAGGTCCTAATTCACAAGCGCAGGCCGCTGGGAAAATTCCCTGAACAATGAAAGAAAAGTCAGATGACGCTTTCAATATATATCTTCGGTGCTAAGACTTCCCTGTGACTCTAACACTAACATAATTTAGATAATAGAAGAGCATTAATTCTTGTATGCCTCTATATACTATCATATTATATTATTATACTGAAGAAATTTTGATAAACAAGTGATATTTATTGTTAACGGGCTTAAGTTAACGGCATAAGATATATTCTATCTGAGGACTCTGAGAAGAAACTCAGAGATCAGTCTAAATAAGGTTCCTGGCTCCACAAAGAGGACAGTTCCAGTTTTCAGTATATTATTTAAAAACAAAAAGATATTATTACCTTGTCTCTCGGTATAATGTTTCATACGTAATAAATACTTATTATTATTAATAATACATTTGAGTAAAAAAATTAAATGCTCTATGATGTGACAAGTACCAGAAACATTTCATAATCAAATACAGCTAACAAGAGTTATAATTTAGAACTTCATAATAATTACTTACCCTGTAAGCGTTTTGTTCTCCGTGAGGGTCCGATAAATCTATGATCTGCTTCCAGACCTCATACCATCCGTGATGCTGCGCGTACTGGTAAGTTTCAGCAATGCATTGCTTTACATCTAACCACCTAAAACAAAAACACATTTCTTAATAAGAAACCTCTGTACTACACAATATAAAGTTCATTATTCAGGGTAAAAGTGTAGCAATTTTGAACTTTAGCTATTACCCTCATAAGCTTCATATTTGTATGTATGTTAACTTACCAGGGGCTTGTGAAGAAGTGGTGTAAAGCTTCGTATATCGGTACTTCATCGCCTTCGCTGTCAGTGATTGTACCATGGAAATACAGATAGCTGCACCAGAGTGACAGGTATATGCAGGCACAAGTAGCCAGGATGGAAACACGCCTATGACATAAAGAAAATCATTTTACTATAGACCTAATCAATAACCATAGTACATAGCTGTACATATACTTAATGAATTGTCTAGTTGAATGTCCCAGTGCTAATTCTACATCATAATAAATATGAATAGAAATCATCATGGTTCACATACAGATTATACAGTACAGTAGTAGTAAGCCAAGAGCCACATGAGGTTTATTGAATCACTTCTTGGCAACTTCATGTAAGAAATGAATTTGCTTTCCTACTTTCCTATTTGAACAACATAACTTACTTAACGTTATGGGTCTTCTTCTTGGGGGTCCTTCGCCAACGCTTGGAGTACGAATCGAATGCACAGGCCGATGCAAGAAGCATAATAGTAAACCAGATACTATCGTCAAAGACATAGTAGCGGATTGGATAGGCCGCAAAGGCACCAAGCAACGGCCACTTGAGAGACCCCTCCTCATTCCCGATGTTGCCTACAGTCCATACACCTAGCAGAAAATCGAGAAATAAGTAACGCTAAAAATACTACATAGAAAACAGTCGAACAAAACCTATTTATTATAGTCCTGACAATCCAAAAGGCAAAGGTACATAACTCTGAATCTTTACAATTTCTTCTTGTTGAATAAAAAGCATATAATCAAGTACATAGTATGTTTTTTTTTAATTGTAAGTAATGAAACTTGTTTTATTTTTACAATTCGAAAACATAATAAAAGTCTAATAATATGGACATCCTGGTTGTAAAACGCTTGAAGTGTGTTTAAAAAATAATTTTTATATCATGGCAATCATACAAGTTTATGTTATATTTTATCAAAGTACCTGCCCTTCAAGATTGTGATGACTTCAAAAACAGAGCACAACCAAAAATAATCTCAAATCTACACACCAACAAAACAAAAGAAGCATTAAGAAGGTAGCGATGGAATACCCACATACCCTCAGGCTTAGCCTTAGAATCATCCATATCACAAACTGAGATTTCAGTTTTAGCTTTATCTTTGTTTCCCTTCACCACTTGACGTCTTGCTTTATCTGCCAGTTAGTAAGTTAGTAAGAGAATGCATTAAGAGGTATTCTTATGATAAACATTTTTAAATTTCTTACCAAGTCCAAGAGCCACGGGAATCAGCAGGTTCAAGTATCGGAGATTTATACCCCAGAATGAGTCCGGAGGAATGGCAAACATTGTCATTTGCGCCCAGGAATATCCAACCATCAGCATCCCAGTGAATCGATTCATAGAAAATGGCGGCTGAACAAAATGAAAGCACATATTTATTGAAGGTATTTAGTCAGTGACAGAGGACTCCTTAATACTGCTCCTCATATATTCTATTACTATGGCAAAGTAACTGACTAGGGCAGGGCAGGGTTTAGTCTAGATTTAGGATTTATTTTAATATAGCATATTGTTCTCTAGTCCTATGTTAGAATACGGCAAATCAGTGCAAGAGATTATCCAGTCCGTTGGTCAGTCACCGAGCTCTGTGTTGGTGCACTCATTGTTAATTTCAGTGTACATTCTTAAAGCATCATGTGGGAGAAAAAAATAATTACTAGGTAGTGTTTGCTAGCAATATCTTTGGTGGTAACTTTTCTATTAGACTTACCTATTTGTCAAGTAGCAGCAATAGTGCATGCCATAGTTATGATATTAGTTACAAATTGTCATAATGCTCATATGCACAATAATGAAAATTATTACATGTTATTATGTGTACATTAGATATTATGTGTGAACGATTTACTTATTAGGTTAACTAAAGAATAATTAAATCAACTCCCAAATACTCACACGCTACATTACAACCAATTAGATACATACATAAAACAACAAGTTATAAAACATCAACAAAAGTCTAATTTACTAGGCATTTGAGTATTTGGCTGTTAGTTCTACAATTATCTACAGTGAAAATGTTATTTTGAATACATGTTAGTAAAATAAATTCAATTCGTATAAAATGTCTGTTTAATTAATTTTTTTATAACAAAACTTATACCAATAGACACAGCTCTGGGCTAATGCTAAAGTATTCGACGACCACTGCAACCATGCTGGATATTCTCAATTGAGAAATTTAAATAAAAAAATTTTGTTTTCCTCAAGAACTTAAATAGAGGAAGCCAATTTCTGATGATAACAGCCTTACAAGGAATACATGGGATTAATATTGAGCTGTTTATATGTAATATACTCGGCTAAAGAGACCGTAAACTTTCCCAAGACCCATTTAGTGTAATATTCATTATTTTACTCAATGTAATTTTTATTTCACCCATAACTATTAGAGAATTCATTGTCTCAACCAATATGTAACATGTTTTAATATTGTGAAATAAAATGATGAAACCATACATAAAATTGTAACCAAATTGTCAATTCAGCACTTTTTAAGTAAACCATGTCAATAAGGTATTCTATTTAATTTGCAGTTTTAAATTATTGAAAATTATGTAGTAGTTATTTTATATATCAACATACTTTGTGTAGGTAATAAGATTTAATAACTTTTATTTTATGATTTGATATCTAAATGAGAACTAAAAATGCGAATACATGACAATAAGCATTACTATTTGTTAAAATAGCAAATTTTATTAATATTTTCAGTTAACATATTATTTCTTAGTTATTGTTATATTTGCATTTATGCAAGAAGGAATTCGGGCACAGTGTACCTTAACACTGAGATTGTATTAGATTCTTGTTATGGAAGATGAAACAATGAGTCATAATGCCAATTTGAGCATTAGTCTCAGAAATGAAGCAAAGCAGGATTATGATTGTTTTTTTATTTTAGTTGTGTTAATAAAAAAGTAGCCCAACACCATAAAATATACATACTTACAGTATGAAACCAAGTAGTCTCCCCAAAGGTCAGCAAAGTCAAGTCTTAAATAGAATACAACCAGAGTAATTAATTAGAAGAATACGACATCCATCCCGAGTACAGCATTAATACAAGTAAAGAATAGAATTAGCAATATCCTACCGAAGATATTAATTAAAAGTATACACTGCATAAGAAATTTAACAAAAATGTCCAATTTTATGTACACATTAGATTAACTTCACCATTTCTAAAACTAAAGAGTTAAATTGATGTGTTTGTATGTAAATACCAATACAGTCAAAAACGGTAAGTTTAATATTCAATGAATAATAGCATATGCTAATCAATGACAATTTATACCTTTATGAATTTTGTTTTATCCATTACTTTATTGCAAAGCAGCAGATTTATCTTATGCAAAACATATTCTGTTTTCTCTCTTCTTCTCGATCTTAACCACATAAGCTTCTCATTAAAAACTGACAAACAGCATTATCCGAATGTGGAATTGTAATTCAACCGTCAAATAATAAAGTAGAATGCAATATTCTTGCCTTCTTTTTTTAAAAATATTGATTGGCAGATACATCACCAATGTAATAAAGTATTATAGGTATTCATAAAACTTAATATACTACCAATCAGAACAGCTTGAGCTTAAAAGTATCAAGTGGTTCATGAAGAGGCAGTGTAAAAATCTTCGGAAAACACTGAGAACACTATGACTTCTAATATAATCATTTAATACATAAAATAGTCATGTCATTCTGATAGACAACCAACTCCAACAAAGCATTGAGCATTACCTTTTATTCTTCAATAGAAAGTCTAAGGGTTGTCTAACAATGAAATTAAGCAGCTGCGTACCTGGTTGTTTTTGTTTTAGTTTTAGATATGAATAAATATATACATACAGCTAGGCCCACACTAAAAATCTGTATTTTTGACCAAGCTGCAAGCGCGAGCTCAATGTCATAGTATCCTAGTTAAAATAAAAGTAGAAAGTTTTATGTCCTACCTTTTTGTTCTGGATTACTCTCCTTGCCAATTCTTCCACATATTGTGGATCGTCATTGGCTTCGCGGACATACCGAGGAATTCTAAAAATTTCGCCGAGCCACCCTACTATAAAACCACCCAGTGTGGTCCACCACACAAATGCATGTCGATCCCGCCTAAGGTAAAAATGATGTCCCCCAAAAATTCCCGTAAAAAGCCACATAAAATAAGCGACGAAAATGGATTTCTTTCCTGGCATCGTGCTGCTCTTCGCGGCCATGGTATTAGAAACAATAAACCTGCTAATTAGTAACGTAGCACTGGAGAAATTATGAACTGAAAGTACTAGAAGCAGGTATTGATTTTGGCTTTCAATTAATACACGTCAAATGCCCCTAATACGTTTATATGTCACTCGTTTAACCGAATATACAACAGTGTAACCGTAAAATTATGTTATCTGAACCTATATTCTTAACGCGGTTCAAATCTGTCGCCTAAACACATGACGTGGGATATGATTATTTAGAACGCGATTTGACAGAAAAGTAAACTAATAATTCGACACACCAGCGCAGCGCGCGCGCAAGACAAGAAGGCCGAATGGGCGGAGCTAAATAGAATAGGGATGCCAGCAAAAAAATTAATTTAGTACCAGTGATTTATACAAATTTTATCGATTGTCATAACATTAAAGATAATCAACATTTACCTTTCTATTAAAACAAAAACGTTTCCCTATACTAGTATGTTCCCCTGTGTCGTGGTTGCATTTATAAACAAGTTCACAATCACATGACGCCCAGACCCTGAACAACAATCTGTAGGTCACACAAAGAGTTATTCTGTGCGGGATCGAACCCGCGACACGTTGCGCGGCAGCCAGTTTCCCAACCACCGCGTCTACCGTGCAGTCAAACTTACTAACACTTTTCTATACTAACATTATAAAGAGGAAAGATTTGTATTTTTGTATTTTTGTATGTTTGTAATGAATAAACTCAAAAACTACTGGACCGATTGCAATAATTTTTTCACCATTAGAAAGCTGCATTATTCAGAAGTAACATAGGCTATATAATATCACGCTAGGTCTTATAGTTGTGGAGCAGTAACCAAAAATGTTTTAAAAACGGGGAAAAAGTATCGTTTCTGAGGCCTTCCGTGGCGTGCGCTGAGCATATAATTAAAGTTATACAAAAATGCTCTATGGATGAATTGTTCATCTTAACATTATTTTTAAAAAAGTCCGCGAGAGCATATGTCTACCTTTTATAGTTTACCCATAACAATAGTTTAAATGAATGGTTCAATCCTTATAAAAGTTTGTTCTAGATAACTTTTGAATTGTTCAATCGGTTACCTAAAGACTATTAATTCATCCAAAAGGTACCTATTAGGTAAGTACTTATGTACTATTTCAAAAATAATAAACTGAGAATAAATTAAATATAAATAAAACGTAAAACTATGTAAAAAATCTTAAGTCCCCCCGTGCGAAGCCGGGACGGGCCGCTAGTATCTTATATTTTTTATATCGATGTTTCAATAAAATTTCATTAAACTAATGCTATTTTGTAAAAATTAATTTGTATTTTTTATAATTTCACAATAATATTACAGTAACTTTTTTAATTTATATTTGTTCACTGTTCTCGTTTTAGTTGAGTTTATTTCAATTGCTATTTTATAATCTAAATAAATAATTATAACTTATGTACATAAGGCGAAAAATTCACCATTTTAGTAAGAACTTGACTTTGTGGATTTTTCAACGTTACAAAGTTATGATACTTTTTTTAACAAGTATTGTTAATAACACATACATTCTGCTACCCTGGATTATTTTGTCATTGTAATAAATGATAGCGAGCTGCATTAAGACTTAAAAAAAAATTAAGTATTTTTAGTACCTACCTGGCCATTTCAAATAACACGACGCACCACTCTATCAGTAAGTTGGCAGTAGATTTATGTTTTTTTCTGAAGAAAGTTCGAGTTTGTTTCGTTAACGCCGCGCCATTGACACGGGCAAGGTGGAGCTCTGGGAAGTCGGGCGGGGAGCTCGGTTTATTGATTTATCCATAGACAAAAATGGAAAAACTATCAATGAAAAAATGTATTGTCTTTGGTACATTCCCTACTTCAAACTAAACCTACACTATAAACCCATTAGGGGCGCCTTCAAATGGCAACTGTATTTTTGCCAACCAGATGGCGCTAGAGAAGACACCCGTTATCGTCCAATAGGGAATTAGCTAGTGTCACACCATTGGACGATCAGGATTTGACAGCTGCAGAGATTGGACAAACAGACACTTTAACTAGATTTGCGTTATCTGCTGAACAGTAAAAACGGAAGCCCGTCAATAAATAGTATATTTTAAGTATTTCAAAAGGCGCTAACGTCAATTTTGACACTTGATAGTTTAGCTGACATAGCAAATTACCATCAAATTACTCTCTAGTTGGCGGTTCACTGGCTTATCTAATTAATTTTTGTAATTTTTGCACTGACAATAGTCAAATCAGACTAGTATTTGACGTCATTTAGAGATCATAAACGTTACGTGAGTCACGAAACCAAGCGCGAAAGTACCTATAACTTGGGTACTTAAAATCGCGAAATTGTTTTTGAATTGGTATACGTTGATTGTTACTTTACACATCGAATTCAAAGGCGAAGTTTTAACTACCCAATCATGACGTTCAAAGGCAAAACTTCTAATTGAGTCCATCATTAAAATCTAACCGTTGAAGCCGAATTTGACTAAAAATCCCTACGTCAAAATCAACACCATAGAGAGTCAACGTCAACCATAGACAACATTAATATTTTAGTAACAGGCATGCATAGTAAATAGTGGGGCGCCACACTAATACTAATAATCTTATAATAAAAGTAGAAGAGATTGTTTGTTTGAACGCGCTAATCTCGGGAACTACTGGTCCTACTAGAAAAAATATTTTTGGATAGTCCAACATGTAGAATAATGACGAGATGATTCTCGTAGCCTATACCACGATCAATTGGAGCTGAGAAGAGCAGGTGAAACCGCGCGGAAGTAGCTAGTTAACTAATTAACTACTAACACACACTACAACTGGCCGCTGGTCAGTAATCGAAACGTTAGAAACGTTACCGCGTAGGTTACCAGTCAGAGGGCTAAATACGATAACATTTTGATCTCGTTCAATATAACAAACTCGTAGTAGGCCTTCAGATAAAATAAAAATTCGATTCCATTATTCGATTCCATCATTCCATTATTCGGTACATGGCATATTACATGAGAACATTGTACAATTTCTCTGTAGTGACGTTATTAGTTTAATTACTTTTTAGCAATTATTTCGTGCCGTATCGTCGCTAATCGTATTCGTATTTGACTTTCATTCAATAAGTAATTTTTAGTCATACATCCGGAAGCGATGTAGGGCTGCCAACCAGCCAACCAATATTGTCATCGACAACATCCATCGCCAACTTTTTTTTTTAACAGTCAGCAAAAAGACCTCAATCAGACAAGACATGGTGTGAACGAAAATCTATTTTCTTTCATATATTTACGCAGTCAGAACAGACTAGAATTTTAGTGACCTTATTTATTCAAAGAAAGAAAATAAAATGTAAAACTCGTATTTTAAATAATGTAGAATATTGCCTTATGGAGAAGTTTTTTGGATCCACTCATCGATCGCGTCATCAAATAATATTATCCATTACTTTAGCTACATCTAATCATGTTTGAAGAAAATATTAATTGAACGCCCTTGTGTAGAAATAGATGAAGTGACTTCGAATTTGTTAAATTTCTGCTGTTCGTTTCCAAAATGTACGAAGACAATACAGAGACGGTTTATGGGACCCATGAAGACTCCCACGTTGTGATGTCAGAAAAGGTCCAGTCCCTGGCTGGAAGCATATACCAGGAGTTCGAACGCATGATAGCTCGGTATGACGAAGATGTCGTGAAGACGCTTATGCCACTCTTGGTGAACGTACTTGAGTGCTTGGATTCTGCTTATCAGACCAACCAGGAACATGAAGTCGAGCTGGAGTTGCTGCGCGAAGATAATGAACAACTGGTCACGCAATACGAGCGCGAGAAGGCAGCGAGGAAGCATGCGGAGCAGAAGGTGAGTGAACAAAACAAGTAGTAAAGAAGGGGCCTTGACTGTCTTCCTTTGTTTTGCATCACAAGGCTGCCTTAGAACGTATTTAGTAGTTTACTGCAATCTGTATTTAATGCACGCATATTGTTTTTATTTGGTTTTGTTATTGTACTAAGTGAAGAGTTGCTCAAGCATTGTGGTAGTTTTCATGGAATGTGCCATCCATTCTGTTATCTGAATCCCAAGGTAAACAAAATGATTTGGTATCAAGTTTGCATAATAGGCGACATAGGCATCTGGTAATTATATCAGGGCTCACAATTTTGTATTTATCATGATTAATAGTCTGTGGTTTGACCTGTGATGATTTATGCTATTGTTTACTGACATAAAATTGGCTGCTCCACTTCTACATGTTGCACTACAATATCAACTGTAAAAACATACCCAAATAATAATCTACAATTTCTGTTAATGGACTTTAACTGATAAAATCATTCTTTGCTAATAATGTGGTTTATCTTCTATTTAAATCTAATAAGATTAAAAAAGAATCTTACTACATTTCTTTTGCATTGTGGCCTTGTGAGTTCAGATATTTTTTTTACAGTATTTGTTTTAATTTCTATATAAGAACAGGAGTATTCATTAAAAAATATTTGAGTAATTTACCTACTATGCATGTTCGCTCACTCATGCGTCTTAAAAATAAGGGGTATTTGTTAGTTAGGAATATTATTTGTGTATGTGTATGTTAACGGGTGATATATAATATTTGATTTCAAGCTAAAGTTTGTGGATTACAATAGACTTTTTACTTGTTTGGAGTTTCTATCAACAATTTAGATTAAACCAGAGAATTTGAATTCATAGTAGTTATTGATCTTGGCTGGTAATGAATATAATATGTATTTTTTTAATATCTCAGTAAATCCCACATTATTGTAAATCCACCAACAGTTTACAAACATCCAATTTCACATACACATGGAACTTAGACCCAGTATAACAATTTGTGGATCACACAGAGACAACCCGTGCGGAAATGGAACCCGCTACACATTATATAAATGTCGCACAATCATATGCACATCTTTTTATGTATTCCCTCATCCATATTTTAGAATTTTACAATTGAACAATATATTTATATACATATGTGTGTATAAAACAGGTTTTAATTACAGACAAATAAATTTGGCTCTATAAACCACTTGTAGAAATTCAGCCAATAGAGAATAGCCTTGAATGATACATGAACATACATTATACATTTAAAAAACAGTTGCTACTACTTTTGCCGTGATCTGATTAATATAAATCTTGTGATTAGCTAATTGTCTAATGTAATGTTCTTACCCAATAATAATAGCTACATGCACTTGTGTTGTCTTAGTATTTTAATTATATCACTGTTACAGTAAAGTTGTTAGATGCACAACAATATGGAACATTGATTAAAAAATTAGTTCTTACTATAATTTTTCTATGTGTAATTGTAGACTATGATATAAAAATGATGATAATTATGATTGTTGAATAAACAAACAACAGAGATAGTACAATATGTAAGCACAGCTTAAATTTGTGTAGCATTTCAGTATTCAGATGATGGTGATTCAATTACTCAAGTATGTTTTGCGAACTCATTAATATTATCAGTCTAATAAGAACAAAAAAAAAATACTAATATGATAAAAATGTTTATTCTATTCTGACATTCTCAATTTCTCATCTAATATGATAGTTATTATATTAGGTCAGTCCCTAAGTTTGAAATAGTATGAGAGTGTGAGCCAGCAAAATAGGGAACAATATTTATATAATTATATTTAGTTTTATTTATACTTGGTAGTGTCTTATTTTCCTGTTTGAACTAAAATTGAAATACAAGTTTAATATTTTGTATATTCCTGTATTGAATTGTAACAAGCAAATACCTTGTCTAGAGGATAGACTGATATGTAATCTATTGTTCTGATTTAAATGAAGTTTAATACATGATTTATAAGTCGTAAAATTATTTTCATTGCTAACATTGACTTTCGCATATAAGTAGGATATTTTATTTGCTTATAACTTGTCTTTGTGGGATAAAATGGAAAATAATATACCGATATCCAAAACAAAATTTCTGATGGTATGTACCTAACTAATATTTAATATTTCAAATACTTACATTATATTAATGTCTATTGAATATCACATTAATGTACAAAACATTTTAGTTATACAGAAATTAGCCTTTAATTAGCTTCTTTCAATGATTTCAGTCTGTATTTTACGAAATGAATCATGTAGTTGTAATAATTACTTAACTCATTGAAAACATCTTTTATTTTAACTTTAAATTCAAATCAAATACTTATATTGCTCAATTTGTAATGCTTTGCATTTCATTTTCGAAGCTGAGTGATATAAAAGTACCAAATGAAGTTGCAAGTTGGAGCCACAAGTTTTGCATTAATTTCCCTGGGATTTATTTATGTTCAATTTTTTCTATGCAGCAAAGGTCTTATGTAAGGCCCTCTTAGTTACTGAAATTACTATTAAATAAATAGTTTTTGTTCATCAACATTACAATCTTTAACTCGTCGAGCACCGTCATTATAGACACAATTATAGAACAATAGGTTGCGGTCACCGGTGACCGCTTGGTGTTTGACAGTTTAAATGAAATGAGATTAGCCATAATTGTAAAGTACTAGTAAAGCAGCTGAGAGTAATTAATACATCGTTGTTCACAGTTGCTGGAAGCGGAAGATCACTTCGAAGGAGAGAGGAAGGATCTATCCGGCCGAATGGAAGCTCTAGACAGTATTGTCAGAATGTTGGAGCTGAAACATAAGAACTCGTTGGACCACGCCAGCAGACTTGAAGAACGAGAAAATGAACTAAAGAAGGTAAGTCAGTAATATGTTTTCATTAGCTAATACACATGGCATAGTATATCATCACCCGTTTTACACGGGTAGGCACATGTGCTTAATGCCCATAATTGTGACACCCACAGTTCACCAATTAGATTACGAATGAGTCCAACTTAATTGAAGGCAAATCTATTACTATACCTGGCAGTAGCCTGGGCTCAGTGCTACTACTGAGAAGTTCCTTAAGCTAAAAAAAGTCAATAATACTTTGGCCGATCTGGTGTTTACGTACCAAGTGTACCTAACTCTAGCCAAGTGTACCTATGTCTTAAACTCTCAAGATATAGGCGAACCTGGAGGTGCGTTAACTTTACACAAAGCAGCTGAACTATGTAGGTATATGCAGAAAAGGCTTAACTAAGTAGTTCATGGTGATCATCGGAAGTAACTTGCAAGGCCTTATCGAAATCAACTAGTTACTAGTTATAACAGTTCCTAGTGGTCTGTGTATGGAAATAGGTTATTACTAATAGGTATTACACTTACGAGAAGGTTCTACTGTAATTAAGTTACCAGCACTTGTATTCTAGTCTTTGATTTGATCGATTTTAGGCCGTTTTTTCTATAAATTACAAAGCTCCTTCAAAGTCGTCTCTCGACATATTATTAAAAAGGTTTTATCTTATTCGCTATTAGCGTAACTTCAATGCAGTTTATAGGGAGTGTGGGATTTATATCTCACTAAAACAAACCCGATAGCCAGCCTCAGCACCTAGTAAGGGCACCGAGTCCTTTGATAGATCTGCTCCGGAACCCCCACGGTGTAACGCTTGTCACGACTCATACCTAGCTAGGGAGACGTGCATGTCTTTTGAGCCTCGCTGTGGACGGCAGCACGCGACCAGTGTGCTACCGATAATAACATCAAATAAATGCGTTTTTTTCTCGCAACTACCTTGTTCTGAGAAGTATAATAAATGAGTATGTATAGATTCAACAGTGTCTGTCTTATATTTCATGACGCTGCAGGTTTTGTGTAATACGAAACTTAGTTTTTTATGCAAGTGTTTGTAGCCAAGCCGCAGCCAGTACAAATGTTGCATTTCAATAATTAAGTAGACGGTGAACCAATTTCGATCAAGGTGTATTATCGTCTGCTATATACATTACAAAAGGATCGATGTACATAGTACTTGAAAGGATTTTTTGAACTCTATTTCTTGGCCAAAAGAATATAATCAAGCTTCTTAACATTTATCAAAGAGGATGTGATTAGGATCAAAACACTTTATTGTTTTAAAATATAATTTTGACAGTATTGTACAGACACAGCGACTAATCTAAGGTTCGTATTAACATACGAAAATGCAACTTGATATATTGTGTCAATTGAACCATTCAAAATACATTCTAAAAGGTATCTAATACCAAAGAACACACGCTGACAAACACACAATTTAATCTTCTTGTGCTAATCCAATAAACGTTTGGTGCTATATTTTATAGGAAACTATGTAGGCATAGTTGGATTAGTAGCAGTCTTGAATGCCAGTTTACAGACCGTACTAACCACTTGTCAAATTTTACGAACCATATTTTTTAAATATGTACCAATTTTATATACTACTTATATATATATAAAGCTTAAGAGTTTCTTGGTTTGTTTGTTTGAACGCAATTATTTTTATGTTATATAGTTAATTTGTCAAGGAAGGTTATCATACGCTATAAAACATCTTGGTACGACCAAAAGGAGTCAAGCAGCGGGAGCAGTTTATTAGTTGTTTAATAAAGTCAGTCAGGATATTTCATAGTTAGGTAGACTGGCCAACCAAGAATGTTCTTAATTCTGATGATCGTACAAGCGCTAATGCTACAATATTGCATTTAAACTTGTTCTTATATCTTCGGTTCGGTTAATATAACTGCGTATGTAATTCGAGTAGCTAATAATAATTGCATGGATGATTTAATCAAAAGTAGTTCATGACCGAATTTTATGACGACAAATCATTCTGCACCACACATTCGGTACAATGCTTCGTATAATATTATATTTCCAAGGATTTGGTGGTTTCGAAGTTGATAGAAAATATAGTATCCATTTTTAACATGGGACTAATGCGGTCAACATGCCTGCTCAGTTATAAACTAGGTCATGTACTTACTGGGTACACTTTTCGAGATTTCATGGAAAATCCTCAGCTTTTGTGGTAGTTGATTGACAGACGTACTTACACATATTAATAGAGTTCATACTTCATAGTAGGTTATGAAATTAGTTAACTAAGTTCACTAATTTCATAGTTAACTTACCTTTATGCGTAATGTGATAACGGGATCAAACTATTCCCCTGACTGCCTCTTTGGCCGAGTTGTCACAAATGTGACTGCCGAGTAAAGAGGCAAAGTATTGCAGGGCTTTAAAAAAAATCTCAGTAGTAGTACGGAGTCTGAAATGGTGCCCGGTATATGGCAATAGGCTCACCTATTACATGGGAGTCATAACATAAGTAGTGAAAAGTGGGTGTTACCTTGTACAGTGTCATAATGTGCACCTCTGCCTACCCCTTCGGGCATAAAAGGCGCGATGTTATGTTATGTTCTGAACACTTCCTTTCGGACCTAATTTAGACAAGTATGATAAAATGCATCTTTCCAAGGTCGGAAAAATCTTGTTCAGTTCTTCTTTCTGTCATGTTAGACAATTAGACAGTTGTCTAGGAGCGTCGTGGATGATTTACCCAAGTTTATTAAACATTCAGTCTATTACCACAGGCAGGTTATAATACATGTTTCAATCTAAATGTTTGTACGCAGGAATATTCGAAACTCCACGAGCGATACAATGAGCTGTTCAAGACCCATGTGGACTACATGGAACGCACCAAGTTGCTGATGAGCACAGCCAGCGACAGAGGAGAGGTCCGCGGAAGACTTGGCCTCAATCCTATGCGTTCTAGTGGTGAGCACATTGATTTATTTATTTCAGTATGCATCGACAATAGAAATAAAGTAGTAAGTTATGAATATGAAAGAAACATCAGTTTTATAGCCAGGTAGGTTTATCTCTGACTACAGTCTAGTATCCAAAGGACAATCAAAATGTTTAAATTAAATACATAATAGATTCCAGTGCGTCTTCTTTTTTGCTGAAAGAGCTGCACTTTGATGTAAAAGAATTCTAAAAATATAGGTATATAGGTATTTTTCTTTTACTTTTCTTATTAGTGCTAATTAATAAGTTAAACTGGACCCCAAGACCCCAAACAATCTTGAAGCAGTATTAGGTATCTTTACATATTTTATTCTAGTAATTGACCAGTGTTACTACTTCGCCAACATAACTTGGAAAGCGTAATAGCGTAGGATTATAAGGAAGGGACTGAAACATGATGCACCCGTATTTGCGCACATAGATATATCTAGACTATTACTAGATATTTCCTGCGCAGTTGGCTACTCTAATTGAATCACAAGTCGTCGTGATTGAAGTCGTTCTGCAGATATGATTACTTGCTAAAGGTACCACTGCCTCTGAGAAAAACTGATATCACGTTATGCAATAGGTACCTACAGATCTAAATAATAAATCTATAAAGTCAAATAACTTTTCTTTTGTTCATTTTTTTATAAAACGTTTAATAAAGATTATGCGGAGTTCTATATTCCTACTACGTATTGCTAATAGAAATATAAATAGTAATACTTATTTTAATTGCCTTAATTTTTAATCTGTGAATGTGTGTGTACTTGGGATGCACGTGGCATAATTATAAATATAGAGTTTATTCATCGAAAACATTGGAGCTATTCGATTGTTATTCGGTGGAAATTCTCAACTCGTGGGTGATAACTTGTACCTTTTTAGGCGGTTCTCGTCTTTGTAGGAGTGATGTTGTGGCTTTATATTTCTGTATGACGACACTTCAATAAGGTTTTTGTTACATAAGGTAGTTTCCGACTGTACTTGACTTTTTTAGTGGCTCTATGAATACTTCTACTAGAATACCTTCTCGATGTAAAGATAATATTTGTCTATAAAATTTTGAGTATTTTTTTATAAGTTTGCAATCTATTGAGAATGTAACAAGAATTGTATTTCTTTATTTTTGTCAACTCACAGTTGTTAGCCACAGTAAAATTATTTTCTAGAGATGAATATTATGTAGTTATAAAAAAATATGTTTTATAAATAATGAGAGCCTAACAAGTATCATTTCCTGTCTGTAATGTATTTTCTATTGTGGTTATCAAAAGGTTAAACACGTAAAAAGTAAAACACTCAGCAGTTTTGAATCCTTATATTATAGTTCTATACGAGCGATACGCTATCAAAGGCTATAAAATCATTATTTTCCATATAAGCAGAACTAAATCTCCCAATCTATCGTTGCAAATATTTACTTTTGAGATGGCAAACTTGTGATATGTTCACACTGTACCAGGTAAGGTACAGTAAGGTAGGTAATGTAAATAAACGAGCTGTCCTGTTCGTTGAAGATGAGCGAGATTGAATCTATAAAAACAAAGGAATACAGCAAAGCCAAGCGCTTGTTAAATATCGATTAATCACTTGGGGCACAACGGTTTATCCTCGGCGGCCGGCAGTATAAACTCAGCCTTAGACAGGAATATTATCAGGATTGTAGATACACTATTACCAGTATAGCGCACTAGGCCAAAATAATAACCGATCAATTACGATAGATTTTCGACATTCCTCATTAACAGCCTATAAATGGCCACTGCTGTCCAAAGGTCTCTTCTCACACGGAGAAGGTTTGAGCATTAATCACCACGCTTGCTCAATGCGGGTTGGTGATTATTATAAGCGCAGGTTTCCTCACGATGTTTTCTTTCACCGTTTGTCTGTGGTGTCTAATTAATCTTAGAAAGTACATATAACTCGGAAAAGTTACATTGGTACTTTGCGGTTGGTAGGTTTCAGACCCGTACCCTCGTGCATGAGAAACGAGCGTCTTGAACCTCAGGGCCACCACGACATTTTTACATAGTTAAATCTATTGAATTGGGTCTTCGCCTACTAGTAAAATTCAATACTTTTTTCGAACTGTGTGTTTTGTACGCGATGGTGTATTGTAACTTCACGTTTTTTCAACGTCAATGAGCATAGTTATTTCTTAAACATTTGCTGGAAAAATAAAGTTAGTCATAAAATCAATTGATGAAAGAATTTTTTTATGGCATAAGCCGGTAAACTAGCAGACGGATCACCTGATGGTAAGCAATCGGCGTCGCCCATGGACACCTGGAACACCAGAGAGGCATTACAAGTGCGTTACCGGCCTTTTGGCGATTAGGAGTTTGAGGATCGTTGCGGATTCAGGAATTCGGGAGATTGAGGAAGGGGAGGGTAATTGAGCCTCCGGTAACCCTCACTCACACGACGAAACACAACGCAAGCGTTGCTTCACGTCGGTTTTCTGTGAGGCCGCACACTATACAATATTAAAAATATAGTATAATTATTTTTTAATATTTTATTATATTGAACAGTTGAAATAATTTATTTTTGATTAAGGCAACTTACCAATTGTCTATAACTTGACAATTTACATTAATATCGGTTAACAACCTCGGATATTAGTGCTACAAATTCCTATAACATATAATGCAAAACTAGTACCAAGTCTCAAGTTATAAATAACAATCGGTTGCTAATCTGATAATAATTGAATCCTCAACGTGGTCGTGTCCGATTATCGTATGTAGTAAGATAATGTGTGTTATTACGGCACTATGCCGACTGCTTGGTCTAGATATGTGCTGAATTAAAAAGTATATACTTTTAATCCAGTTTATGAACGATCTTTATCTATATGCTTAGCGTTTACATAGTTTTCTAACAAATACTTGATATATGTTCATGAAACTCGGGATTTCATGGTAGATTGACTTGTAGAAATCGATAATTTATCATGGTTCCATAATAGTAAAGAATAAAAATTCATAAACTATTTCATTTTGCCGCAAGTCCCAATCGACATTAGAACTTAGCAACTGAAACAGAGATTGCGTTTCTATATTAATACTGGCTGCTTCTTTGTTCCCGCTTTCAAGACTGTCAAGGATTTCACTTGTTGAATTTTAACTAGGTTATGTTTGGGCTTGGAAGATACTTCAGCCTAACTAACAGCTTCTCATACCAACTATATAGCCTAATTATACTGCAGTTTCATCAAATTTATCGCATTCTTTTTATCATTCGAATTTAATGATGCAATCGTAATATCGTTTCGAAACTCAATCAGTAATTATGAGTTGAAGGTTTCCAATATGAAATGATTCATTTCAGGTGTTGTAGTGACGTAGATACATGTTCTTCGCAAGCTCCCGATCGATTCTTATAACGATAATATGTAATGTGAGAATACATATATTATTTATGAAGAATTATATATCATAATATTTTATCCCCGAAGTGGTAGGCAGAGGTGCACATTACGGTACTTAATGCCACTGTACAATGTAAACCCCACTTTTCACTATTTATGTTAAGAGGTTCCATGTAATAGAGGGTGAGCTTATTGCATTGCTATATACCGGACACAATTTCAGACTCCGTGCTATCATTGAGATTTTTTTTAAAAAGCCTAGTACCTAATACTTTGCCCGGCCCGGGAGTCGAACCCGAGACCCCTTGCTTGGCAGTCGCACTTGCGACCACTGTGCCAACGAGGCAGTCTTATGAAGAATTGTTGAAATAAATAATTAGGTTATAGTAACACCTTGACGGTTTTGTTAAAAATATGAGGTACTCGTACCTACACACGCAATTCATGTCTTCATTTAATTTACGCATCGGATTTACACACGTAATGCACCGGTCGTTCAAGTACTTTTCTGATGGCTATTGCCTACATTCAGTGAATATGTCTGATACAGACAACTCTAGTATTTTATTTAGCTTAGTATATGCAATTCATGAGTGTAGATCGACGGGTTACACGGCAGACGGGTCTAAAAATGGGTTCACTATTAATTCAAATAAAGTCTTCGACCTTAAAATGTATTCAAGTACTTCGGAGTGAAACGTGAATTCAGCGTTTAATTCAGTTTCCAATTGCGGTCGTGTTTTCCTAATGAATTTAGTTCGGAAGGTGGCATGGCTCATTAATGGTTCTGCACGAACCATGAGCCACCTTAGAATCGAGCTCGATTTATCTGAGGCCTTACTATAAGTTTGTCTTACGTTTAAAGTAATCGAAACGAGACCTCGTTCGGCGCTCTGAGGCCTTAGTACGAGTTAGTTTTACGTTTAAATTAATCGTAACGAGTACCCGTTCGGCGCTGTGTTTGGTTGCTTCACTGGTGCCGGCCAACCAGAGTGCCGAACGCATACTCGTTTCGAATACTTTAAACGTAAATCAAACTCGTACTAAGGCCTCTGATTGGTTTGTTTATTGGAGCCGGCCAATCGCAGTGTCGAACTCATACTCGTTTCAAATACTTTAAACGTAAAACAAAATCGTACTAAGGATAGGAAAGTGCATGCCGACCACCGAGACGCTATCATGATTAACGCAACCTAAAAGCTGGGAGAGAATCTTTAGATGTGGTAACACCGTGGACACATTTCCATAACATCATTATGAAAGTAGGACACTAATGTTAAAAATTTACATTAAGAGGCGCTACAAATAAAATTTACGCTTAATAGTTTCGTTGTACTGTTCAATTTTGACTTTACGCCTAACTTTAACATGTACCAATGCTCCATTCTAGATAAATCAATGTTTGAAAGTACTTAATTGTTTCAACGTCACCTAAATAATTTAGCTAAGTTTTGTGGCACCGAGGTTTCGTTTGCAAATAGTTTACTTAACCGATCATAGTTTTCTCCTCCGTACATTTACAATTTAAATGTATGTGACGCAACAGATGTTAGTTAAAGTAGCTAAGGTATGACCCGAGGTCATTCAATAAATCGATAGAATCAGCGCCAACCGTTCCAAGCATTCAAGACGTTATGCCTGGGTATCAAAAATTAATACATTTTACAATATTACTTTTATATTTATAAAGCAAAGAATTTACTTAATATTTCAGAAATTTGACGAAATATTTTGTTCATCTTTTAAAGCAGTACCCAACTCAAAGTCAATGGAATTTGTCTTTCATAAAAACCTTGTCTCGAAGCCGGCAAAAAAAAGAACTGCCTAAATCTATTGATTTATTGAGCTCTGTTGAGCTGCTGTTTTACGGTCATTTTCTATAATCTATCTATCTGTAGATTTGTTTACTGAGATAGAATTTTGACGTAAGCTCCATACAAAATGTGTCAAAATTCTATCTCAGCAAATCTAGGTTATAGAAAATTACCGTTAGTCGATCTGTCATATATACGTACACACTGTTTTAGTTTTTATTAATATTAGGCCGATTTTATTTTATTATAATTGTATTAGTAGATTTTTTCTCGTCTTCAATGTTTCTACTTGTAACCAAAGCACGAAAGGAAAAAAAAACAATAAGTATTGCGCAATTTTTTGGAACTATACTAATGTCTTCTTGTCCACTGTTTTTTGGGCTCACAAAATGTTAATTGATTTAGGTGTTTGAATATTATTATTAAAAGTGGACCAGTTGCCCTTGGTTAGTTGGTTATCTCTGTTGTAATTTTTATCGACGTTACTATTACCATAACATAAAACTTAAATAAAATACCTAAAAGTCATTTACAATTGAAATCAGATGGCTGAGTAGGCTTGTGTAGTTAAGGAATATCTCGTGTATTTGACCACATTTCTATTATCGCGATTCGCAATCTCCTGTAAGAGTCTTAACTTAAGCTCCAATCTTGGAACATAAAAACGACTATAAATTACAAATTATGACTATAAATCAGTTTCATTCGAACTCTTTGCAATTTGACAATAACACATTTACATCTGCTATTATTTAACGTGACCAGTAATAAAATGATAGATGAACGGCCGAATATTGAAAGACTACTCAGTTTTAAGTTGTAATTAAATATCTTGCCATCTCTGTCTTTTTACAAAGAATTTGTAGTGACAGAACTATACTTACCGTGACTTAAAATTTAGTGACGTTTGATGATTTGGACACAAGTAAGTTAATGCCGTATTTAGGTACTCATTATGTAAGCATCACTTCTAACGTTACGTGGACGGAACGGAGTGTGCCCCACAAAGACATCACTCGGCATTCTTTAGCACAATATACTGCATGGCCACGAAATACGACTTTATTTCTACCAATTGTAATTCGTTTAAGTTACAAAATGATACGTGTTGATCTTGTTATTGTTACATAGGAACGTTTAGCGAGTTCAAGCAGTAAAACGAGGTTGTTAACGACTAAAATTATTGTTCTATTGGCACAATAAATTATTATTTAAGTATGTGCTGTTTAACTGACAGTTGTTTAACTGCTTACAATTATTTAAATTAACAAAGAAATAGTTTAATCATGTAAATGATTAAATATAAATCATTTATACATATTTAGTAAAATTATACAATAAATAACGATAACATTATGCCTTACAATTGATTACTAAGTCTAAATGATAAAAGTTGAATACCATTTCTAGCTTTCTACTCGAACAAGTTCATCGTACAGTTTCACTATCCATATTACCCTGATTGGTTGAATTAGGTAGGTGGAGGCCAATTGGTTTTAATGACGAGTACCTATAATTGTCGTTTCGTCTTGCTCCCGACTTCTACTTTGCAGATAAACTGGCTATTCTCTTAGAGTTTTGGCTATAAATAGAAGTGTAATGTATCTATATGAATAAAAATGAGTTTCCGTTCGTTAGTCTCGCTAAATGTGGAGAAGAGCGAACTGTTTTGCGTTATATTGGTCATGAAATGTTCGTGGAAGTCCAGGGAAGGTTTGCCGGGTCAGCTAGAGTGTAATGAAAATGATTTCAGTAATGGATTTAAAAATATTTTAGTATGTTTTAATAGCAAAAATGTGTCGCGTAGGTCGTATCTTATTATCGACAAAAATTTCCTTGGAAAACAGGCCAATGACCTAATCTCACCCTTTGTCCTCAGGTCCGATATCGTTCGGGTTTGCATCGCTGGAGAGTTCGATGCACAATGTGGAACAAACTGAGAGTATGCCTGGTAGTCCTGTCAGCTTATCTTCCTCGCCTCCCTCTCCACCAACCGGCTCCGACTTAGCAGCAGTGAGGACTGTTGAATGCGCCCACCAGACAGATCCAATCACGCAGCAAAGCCAGGTAAAATCCAAACATTTTATTTTTATTAATCTGTTACAGATCAGAGTGAGTTCATCATTTTTAATATTCGTTTAAGGCTGCAATAAGGTTGACTTTCTTTTTATTAATATTTCTAAATTGGATCAGTATCAATATAATATAGTAGGTATGTATAGTATAGTAGGTATGATTGTATAGTAGAATGTGAGACATTTTTTATTTGAGGGGGGAAATTCATCCTGTCACGTCTCCCGCCCGGGTGAGGCGGGAGGGAGTGCCAGACTTACTGACTAAAAACCACCCCGTTCCTACTCCTGCACTTCGAGCCGGAGCCCCGGCAATCCGTTAAGTCTTCCGCGGCTCCGTAGAATGTGAGACCTAGATCAGAATTATATGGAACATCCTTCCATTTCTACATGTACGTGATTTCCTCTTACTGCCAGTTGGTATTCTATTCAGTTACCTTCATACGAGCCACGGTAGCTCATCCAATTCATAGATACTTATCTTATCTTAAGTTGTAAATACCAGTACCAGTGTTCTATAGACCTTAAAACGGGACGTCCACCGCCAGCTAAAATAAGTTGAGTTTAGTTCGCATAGTTGGGCTAGCTTTTCATACTGGCCGTTTATCGCAAACTATGCCAACGAAGCTGCTATGTTATGCCAGCTCTAAACTGGTGGCGGTGGATGAAACTTTATGCTTTGTGATAAACCACAGAAATCATGTCATCCAGGTATTTTTACGTATAACTTGAATTGTTTAAACTTTTCCTCTAGTTTTAGTAGTTTAAAATACATTAATTACGATGTGCAAAAGTAGCCATATTGAAATCAAACAAAACTTTCTCAATGTCACTAACAGTGCCTGTGTTAATGTTGCCACTTTAAAATACTCTTTTTTCGTTTTCTTATAGAACAAATCTTTGAGTTTTATTGATCACCCTACTTACGTTGTTGTAACATTTTATTCTAGTATCCAACAATAAAAGAAGTCATATAAATGAACAATCTTTCAGTGTAAAGTGGTCAGAATTTTATTTTCTACGTCTATGGATCTCTCCATCCTCGTGTAAGCTGCGCGCCCTAGTTAGTTGAGGTCAGTGTAGTAGCAATTCACAGGGTGAATTTTCCAAGTGGTCGTAGTTAAGAATCCAAGAATTTTACAAATATATTTCGAGATGTTTTAAGATGTTCCAGTTTGTTTCAATATACATTTTTAAAATTTTGTAGGTAATCAACGTTATTTAGTCCGATCATTAAGGAAGAACTATGGGGGTTACCTGGAAAGCATTTCGGGAGTTTTGAAAATCGGCATTTTGTGGATTTTGATGTGATATACGTATAATTTACAGAAATAAGAAATGTTATAAAATGTGTGTCTGCTGGTAACAAATATTGATTCAATTGGATATCACTACACTACATTGATATGAAATAAAAGATCATATTAAAGATTCTATACAAAATTAAATTTATTTCAAGTTCTTACAATTACATATTTACAATAACAGAAAATAAAAGCTATTTAATAACCATTAGCAATAAAGCCCACATGATAATTTTCCAATTCTGCTTTACATCGGTGGCGTAGTTGCATCCGTCTGATTTACATTCGCAAACTCGCGAGTAATGTATGTTGCTGAACCTGGAGTGTTCACACTTGAGCGGTTCCGTGTATACATAAGCACATTCCCTTATCACCGTGACGTCTTGGCCAGGAGTAAAGTAATTTATTTGAGACAGCGACCGACACACGGGCCGCCCTTTTTGTTGGCTGCAATCTTTCAAATGTGCGGGGTTCAAGTTATATGTAAAACATCCTCGATTCTCTATCGACGAGCACTGATAACATTTTAGGCACGTCACTTTACACATCACGGAAAATAGAAATATAACTGTTAGGATTATGTTTGTTGAATAACATTTCATTTTATAACCGTTGGTTTGACGGCTCCTCGATCGGCCATAGCGTTGACATTTCCAAATTCGAAATATGTCAGCCTGTAATGTTTCTTTTTTAGAGCCAAATTTATTGTCGGTTATTCCACCTTTTTGGTTGTCTATAGTATGGAAGTTTAAAACCTTTTTATTATAGTTATTAGGACATTATTTTTATTCATCAACGTCATATCTTACAGAAAATAATACCTACAATAAACAAATAAGAAAATCTTTACTTGCACCTATCTATCCATTTTTGTTGGTGCAATTTCGATATGTACTTCCTAAGATTATTTAGACACCACTGACAAACGGTGAAGGAAAACATCGTGAGGAAACCTGAGCTTATAATAATCACCAACCCGTATTGAGCATGCGTGGTGATTAATGCTCAAACCGTCTCCATGCGAGAAGAGGCTTTGCTCAGCTGTGGGCATTGATAAGCTGATGATGATTGAAGTCGGTTGCTCGCTAAGGAAACAAGCGAACTGTCAAGACTTATAAATTTCTCACGACAGGCACTCTTTACTTTCCGACTGATATGTTCTTGACTTGTGATCATTATCAAAAAACACATCATCGGACATCTCGAAATGCTGAAAAAATAATGATATAGTACTAATGGTTAGGTTTTTATGCACAAACTATACAAAGGTTTTGTAGTAATGGCTACTAAAATAATTTCCAGGCTACATCACCAGTGGCACCGCCTAACGCTCCTAACACTGGTAAATCTCAAACAAAGAGCGAGAAACGAAGCGGCAACACGTTGTACCAAGAGCTCGCGTTCCAGGATGTAGATCCGGGCATTGCTGAAGGTGAAGACGCTGACATCACAGGTAATACATAGATAATTAGTCAAACTAATAAATAATGAAATCTACGTAGTGTTAAATAATTACTAATATAAAACTACAATATTTGCAACTTAATAATTTGTTTAAGCAAAAGCTATAAAATGGCATCGAAATCTCCTCATCATTATCGCGAGGTACGGTGCCTAAAAGACTGGTAGCAATGCCACGTTGAAATATTTATCTATTTATTTAAAAAAAACCCTGTTCGATTCCCGGGTCTGGCAAAGTATTACTGGTTTTTTTTCAATACTCAATAGTAGTACGAAGTCTGGAAATGTGCCTGGTATATGGCAATAGGCTCACCTCATATTAAAACGACTCGTAACATAATAGTGAAAAGTGGGTGTTACATTGTACAGCGGCATTAAGTGCCGTAATGTTCACCTCTGCGTATCCCTTCGGGGTAAAAGATGTTATGTTATGGTATTAATATAAACATGCATAATATTACAGCTTAACTCGTCGAATACCGTCATTATAGACACAATTAAAGAACAATAGGTTGCGGTCACCGGTGGCCGCTTGGTGTTTGACAGTTTAAACCAATATTTTATGCAGTTAAAGTGAACTTATTATTGAATCACAATGCTTAATCTTTGACCAAGGCACTAGTATAAGAACAGTAATAAGTCTACGGCTAGTCCAACGTATTACAATTACCTATAACTGAAAGTAAATATGTATGTACAGTCTATTCTCCGTCAGTACATAAAAGGCGTGTTGTTTTGTTATCTAAAGCCAATATTGTACATGAATGAGTCGGTTAGGTATACTATGACTCGAGCATGTACTGAAGCATCACGAGATTGAATTATACGAGCCGATGAACAGGTGTTAAATCTTTGTGGTGTATAGCGTCCGTATTTCGTACGACACTTGTACGAATAAACATCCAATGTAGCTGATCTTTACAATTTGGCTAATTTGTATCGTATAAGATACTAGCGACCCGCCCCGGCTTCGCACCTTAAGAATAATTCTATCTATTAAAAAAAATCGCATCAAAATCCGTTGCGTAGTTTTAAAGATCAAAGCATACACAGGGACAGACAGACAGGATAGCGACTTTGTTTTATACTATGTAGTGATTTTGGGAGTTTTCGATTTTTTGTCACCTTTTGACTTTGGCGCTAGTGTGATGAATTATCTTATTAACTTACGTAAATTGCTTTAAAAGTTGACTAAGTATTAACTAATATACTGATTGTTAGTACAGTTGACAAGGAATCTCTTTGTAGTCAGCACACATAGGTCTGGTGTAAATATTGCAAACAATATTTGATTTTAAAGATCCTAGATTAAGGTCGTATATTAACTTCCAGGGTTCGTCTTTCTGTATACTTATTTTAATTTAAATGTTAGTGTCTTCACCAAGACAATACCATGTTTATGTTTATTCAAAACTGTCTTGTTCCCCACTTAGCTCTATATTTTCACATTATGTAATTTTATTCAATTGTTTACAGGTAGTTGGGTTCATCCTGGTGAATACGCATCTTCTGGTAAGTGCTTCTGCCATATATATGCTAACCATCCATATACAAACTATAACGGTTGACCTAGCATTTCATATTAACATTTATAAATCACGTGAAAGAATTTGTTTGGTTTGAGAGTTTATAATATAATTTCTATGATTACTGAAACATAATTCTATCTAATTAGTCTCTCTTGACCAATGTTTTTGGAAATATGACATGCTAAGTATAATTGGAAATGGTTTATCCATTATAGATCGTATCCTATAATAACAATAGCAGCTTCTATCTACTTATATACTCATTAAATAGCCGCTTTTTATGTTACCTTTGGAAACTAAAAATATAATATTATGTAGTTGTTATCCCAATATTTTTTTTAAATATGGAGAGTGGTCCATTAATACCTACGATACGCTAAAATACTTGTGATGGTTCTAAAGGAAATTTATACTAACTGTACAATTCATATATGATGTAAAACATTCAGTTGATACGAATGTTTATTATTTTTGTCATAAACTCATTCCAGCTTCTTAATTTTTTTAAAGTAATGTATTATAATTTCAGCTTATAATTCAATTGCCAATTAATGCCTATATTGTTTTATATGCTGTATTCTTGTACACTAAATGGTTTTATTAGAGTGGTTCTGTACTTTTTTCACAGAGTATTAATTCTCAAAGATATACACCAATAAATTATTTGGCTAATTTAAAAGCAGCATGAGTAATGTAAAAGGAAGAATCCGTGTGTATCATCATTACTTTAGTACATATTTCATTAAAGAAAATCGTAATTGACAAAAAAAGGGTTTGTACTGTAATTAATAAGTATTAAGCTGCAAATTGCCTTAATTTATAACCTGTGATAAAACTACTAGCCATTGTTTGTAAATATGAACCTATATTATTATATTTATGTTCTATCCTACATCCTTACACATTGCGCCACTGATTTCCTTAATGATTTTAGTTTTTGAGTTATTTTTTTTAAACTTATTTGCTATTACTTATTTGGATTTATGTTCTATAATCTATGTTGTATGGTTATGAGCAAGTAGCATAGGTACAATTTAAGTTGCTGTATTGAAACGATGTTGTTGCTTTTATTGTTGAAAGACTCAGTTTCTAGAATGTTCTGTAAAAGATATATTAACACTCAAATATTGAACTTCTAGAAACTGAGGTTAAGGAACGTTGTTAAATGTAATAAAACAGGTTTGAAAACGTTTATGCAAGTCTTTATGTATTTGGTCCACATACTTTCTATGGACAGTTGCTTCTAGAAAGAGTCAGAAACATAATTGAATAGTAAAGACATATTTCTTGATCAGAATGGGGACCGAGAGACCTAAATTGAATGTATCTCACATATTACACCAATGGTGCAGTATTGTACTTTTAATATGAAACAATTAATAGACGAAGATAATGCTTGCATAAACGAATAAAATCATAAATGTCATATTAGTTATGCCTATGAACATACAAAGAGCTATAGAGAACCAGTAATTAAGACAGAAAGTAGATCATAGCATATTAATTGTTGCAATTTTTTGTTTACTTAAAGTGGCGTCGTGTGTGAGCAATTCGACTAGTTTTCTTTATTAATAAATTATCATACAATACTAATAACTGTACGTTCTATTTCCATGCGTTCTAACAAAATGTTGCATCAACGCATGATTGCAGTTAACGACAATTACTTTGGTAAGTAACTTGTAAAATATCAACTGATTTTCACTAATACTCTTCAAAATTGTCATTCTAAAATTCGAGTTTTTAAATGAAATATGGCCTCACACACTGCGTCGCATTTAGTTGCAATATATATACTGCCGTATAGACGTATCGTTGTTAGAGTATAGTGTTCCATTTATGTTGACGCGTTCAAATTGTTGTTGCTAACGCATGCGGCGAAGTGTGTGAGGGACCTAACGAATGCTTGCGATTTCCAAAGCGCAAGATGCAAGTAAGTAAAAGATTTGCGTAACTGTATACACTTTTCCAATAAGCACATTAAAGTGATAAAAAATATAACTTATGATGTTTTTATTACTGAAGTTTTCGGTGACATTGATCTGCAGCACTTATTATTGTCAAATAAATAGAAGAATTATAAAGTTTTCATAACTGCACTCGCTTTAAAAATAAATCAAGTCTTTGAGAATACGAAACTTGAGACTAAACTTAATCCAACAGGAATGGGGAAAGAAGTAGAGAATCTGATCCTCGAGAATAACGAGCTGTTAGCCACGAAGAATGCGTTGAACGTCGTGAAAGATGACCTCATAGTGAAAGTAGACGAAATGATGGGAGAGCTGGAAATCTTGAGAGAGGAGGTTGCTAACCTCAGCTCCGCCAGGGAGAAGTTACGTAACAGAGTCACCGAGTTAGAAGAGGAAGTGAGACATTTGAAGGTAGGCTGGATTTCAATTGGTTGTTGTATATTCAAAATACGAAATAACTATTCCATCCTAGGTAAAGTTTACTTTGAGTGGAGGAAGTTGTATATCAAAAATAACTTTTTCAAAGTAATGTTGTAATTTAAAGAACCTCTAAACGTAATAAAGATAATGGTTAAGTTTATTCGTCTATCATTCTTCTTAATAAATTATCGTGAGCAGTGTTGTTTAGTTGAGTGAGTTTGTGACAGGAGACGGTGAGCTCAAACGCGGGCGGTGGTGACAACAACGAGGACGAAGCCGATGTACCAATGGCGCAGCGCAGGCGCTTCACCCGTGTTGAAATGGCACGGGTTCTAATGGAACGTAATCAATACAAGGTTAGCCTTTCCTATGTCTACTTCGCCAATGTTCAAATAATAAATCGTTACTCGTTTTTAAATGTTTCGTTTGATGGTCTTAAAAATATTTCTGTCACTACAAATGCTTTGTCGAAGACAGAGATAGCGCAATTTATTTTTAATAATAAATAAATAAGATTTTAACTTTAGAGCAGCGATTGAAACGACTTCCTCGGCGCTAATATGCAAATATAAGATGATCCTTTCATTTAATATCTACCTTGCCTTTCAAGCTTTTTTACTTTTTAATATCCCTTCGTAATATCCGTGCACGTTGCCTTACAATCGTATATGTGTGCGAGGTAACCATAATTTCAAAATGTTACTAATAATTATTATTCCGGTTTGTGTTATAGGAACGTTTCATGGAACTGCAAGATGCCGTTCGCTGGACTGAGATGGTGCGAGCCAGTCGCGTTGACTCTACAGTGGATAAGAAAAATAAGCAAACTATTTGGAAGTTTTTTAGTAACCTTTTCAGGTAAATATTGTGTTACATTGATGTTGGTACCACTGTACCACAGGCTAGTGTAACACGAATTAAAGAAATGTTAAGAATGGGTTGCTCTGGCGCCAGTAATTGAGGACATTTTCAACTTAAAAACAAAAGCAATAACGTTGAAAGTTCATTAAAGTAATACGTTACCAAAGTAGTCATCTTAAACACTTGAAAACATTTGTAATATACCCGGTAATATACAGTATGGTGACGCCTGTTTTTCCCTGCTATGCGTAAAATAATAATCGACTTAGAATGTATTCATATGATTACCGAAATTGATAAGAGATCAATTGCTGCTTTGCGTGTTACAATTTCGATTTATGAACTGAATATAAATAACATGATTCAGTTGTTTGTCTACAGTTGTTCATTCATATCTGCGATATGTTTCCTGAACAAGTGTTTGTTCCCACGACAGCTTCGCAGTGTTTTAAAATAATGTGCTAAAGTCAATGCTATGCTATTGTTATTCTGCTTTGCAAATATAAATTACAGATTGATTATAAGTGTTTATCTAATGTTGATATAAAATGATACATAACGGTGAAGACTTAGCTTGCGTTTCAAATCACTACATATCTGTTTGTCTGTCCCTATGTATGTTTAGATTTTTAAAAGTACGCACCGGATTTTGATGCGGTTTTTTTAATACATAGAGTGATTCTTAAGGTTTATATGTATAATACATGCATATTGCACCCGTGCGAAACCGTGGCGGGTCGCTAGTTTCAATGATAAATAACGCCTTTAATGGCCGGGTTCCGGTTTAGATAGCATTAGAGGAGGCCTGTATTCGGCAATGGATGTTTTGCGGCTGTTCTGCTGATGATGATGATGATGATGACAAACTCTTTATTTCCCCATATTTAACTTTCTTGCTCCAGTTATATCGAGTGTTCTGTCTAAGATAATTCCAGTCACCGTACTATATAACTGATAATTTTGAAACTACATAAATTCAGAGTAGGTTTGGTACATCTGGGATATTATCTTGACACCTCTTTGCTCAGCAGTAATGCTTGCAACCACACGGTCTACGAACGAATCGTGCATTTGTACTGTAATATATGCGTTGCGATTATCATGATTCACTTTATTGCAATTTTGTTTTTTTTTTGCACTTGCCAAATGCATTGTTTTGCAATAGTATGTGCTAATAGCGTATGCAATTTTATTATACTTCTTACATTTACTTTGCTCACGTATTATACAAATTGCAGCGATAGTGTTTTTTTTTGTGTTTCTGTAGCGAATAATTTGGCACAATAATTAGGATTAACGTTTGAACTTTTATGTTCGTTATAATACTTCTTGCCTAATTTTATTTTATTCTTAGCTGCAGCGAGTAAAAACAATGTCTAATTTTGCTGTGTAATAATTTTAATTACATTTCCGCATCCCCACAAAGTGCGACTATCCCCGCGCTGTGGTACTATTTCAGGATATAAAAGAGAATTTTAAAAGTAGAACACCCAATTACTTACTTTTTACCTTCCTTGAAATCGGATCATAAACAGGTTTACGATCAAAATGCATATTTTTGTTTACATAAACTACAAATTTCACGGGTACTATAGCCAAAAAGAGAAAAGGCCTTATAATTTCTTGAATTATGGCAAAGTAAATCACTAGCGGAAAGGCCAGCTAAGGCTTTACTTTCATGGTATAGATAACTATATTCAAGCTTAGCCATATAACGCTGTGTTGCTACGCGACAAAGACACAATTGGGTACTTGCCAACTAGTCAAATTCAATACTTTTTTCTAACTGTCAAAAACGACAGTTTTCTATGAAATTTGTATGAGATTTTGTATTGTGACATCACGTTTTTTTAGCGTCAAATAGCATACTTATTTCTTAAAAAAATGCTGGATAAATACTAAAATTAAGTCGGTCATAAAATCAATTAATGAAAGTGTGATTATTTTTTAACATTTTATTGTATTGTATCGGACAGTCGAAATATTATATTTTTGATTAAGGAAACTACCCAATTGTGCATGTGTCAAATTAATAAGGACTACCAAAATAACAACAATTATACGAACAAAACGCTCACCTGAGGAACATGAAAACGCATAAAAGCCAGTCAGTCTATAATTTATAACTGTAAATGAATAAATGGCTATCAAAGCGAATGTGTTCGTATTTTAACGAGGTTTTATTAATAGCCTTGTTGCCTAAGTGATCGCAAAAGCCATTGCCGGTCTAACGCCTGAATACTGAATAGCTACTAATTAAATAACGTGTCATCTCTATACTTAAAGGGGTTAGAACTATTGTTAAGCGCGACTTATAATTGAGTGACGTTTGAGGATTTCAGTGTTGAATGATTTTAACTTGTTATACTGTTCAGTACAATTTGATGCTCGCAATGCCGATAATTAGCACATAATAGCTTTGTGATAGAACAGTTGCGAAAGGCTTATAAGACTGTATTTCATATATCTTTCATATTTTGTGTATCTCATCGTATGTTTTGATGGGAGAAACAGGCGTTATTAAATTTACCTTATAATCAATTCTTTACTGCTTAAACCGGATCTATCCTAAAATAACATGACGTACGTTTCAATTGGAACATTGTCGTTTGTTTTAGTACCAGCGAACGTCCACAACGTCCATTATCAACGCCTCATCTTCGTGCGGTAGCGGCACCGCAACCCGCGCTGCGTCATTCGAGGACACAAGCAGACTTCTTTGAAACCCAGCTAACGGACCATCACCATTCCAGACGCCATGAAAGAAGCGAGCAGTTCCGTCAGGTACGTGTCTAATTCCACTAAAGTACCCTTGGCTTCCGAAAGGCTAATTTTGATACCGTGTAAGGAGTTTGTTTTTTCATCGAGATGGTCTTTAGACGCCAAGGGAAGGTGGAATGATATTTCTTAAGACATAGCTCATAACATTGAGCTATGTCTGGCAAGATATTTGGATACGTAGCATGACTATGTTCCTTTATACTTGAATGATATTATATAGTACGCAAATGAGATTACCTATTTCCAGTCTCAGTTACAAAACTGGAACAGAAATTAAAGAATAAAAAAGACATATTACGTCACTTACAAGCCTACATTTTAAACGCGAAACGCAAGGCATTTTATTTTAAGATGCCATTATTTACATGCAGCCTATACATGATGATGCCATTTTTTATATGGCTAGGCTGTCAAGATACAAATAAATATTTTTACGTATTGAATTAAATTTATTGCCAAAGATTTTACAATGAGGCCATGAACTCGAACGCGTACTATATAAATAAAATACAATGATCTGACCTTTTCAACGAAGCAAAAGTTGTTAATAATGTTCATACCAATATGATGAGATCATCTATGAATAACGATTGAAGGCATATCCTTAATCAATACTGCTGCATTGTTTTGCTTCCTTGAATAAAGAAAGGGATGTCTGTGTACTTTATACTGAATTGATTGATACATTCATAAACTTGCATTGGTCTGTATAAATAAAATCGAATACATAAATATCCATGTGCAAACCACTAACGTTTGAAAAATACAACTTGAGTGTCTTCAAGTCCCAAGTGAATGGATTGCTCTTAGGTAGGTGACGTGCTCCATCGTTGGCCACGTTATCGCTTACCACTTGCAAGATGGCGACCAAACGCCATCCTATTATAACTAACTTATTATCGACACTGCAAAGAGATTTTATGTATAAAACCTTTATTAATACAAACCAAATGCATGAAATAAGATTTTTTCTGCCGCTGTATATATCCTGTGCCGGTTTCCTATATTCTATCCAATACTATTAATCTTTTATTATCTATGTATTATATTGGGCTGGAATTTAAGCTTTTATACACTGAATTTTTAGCCATCACAATGGTATTTAAAGACTGGCGTTAATAAAAAAATATGTGAAACTTAAAAGGAATCTATACACATAAGCCAGCAACCATAGATAGATATCTTAATATCCCATGATAATGAATTATACTTTTATTTTTAATTGATTAATTAATATCCTAAAGGCCAGTTCTTATACACAGAGGTAATCCACACTACTTTTGTAAGACGGCAAAAAATTCAGTGTATATCCTGCGTGTCTTCTATTAATATTTATATAACATTCTGTGCTTTATTTTTATTTTCATAAATATATATTTGATATTTATTTATTTGCACGTTATTTTTAACATAGATACGTATTCGCTATACATATGCCACCTCGATTTCGTCATATAGTAAAAATATAATTGACAAACGGAAACATTGTGTTTAAGTTATTCAAATAATAATAATAAATAGGTATATCAAGTGAATAGTTATTTTGTAAAGTGAATTTTTAAAGATATCGTCTATAGAGGTTGAGTTTATTTTCATTTATTTGTTTTATTACTAGATATAAGTGAAATAAGAGGTTTCGCCTTCACTGTTGTCCATTAGAAGCAATATCATAGGCGTTGCTTATACAACATTACTGTGCAAAGTTTTAAACACAATATTAGTTTTTACGATGCACAGAGATGGAAGTAAACAGCTTATAAATTGAAATAAAGGTTTCATATATTTCTACAAATAGTAATTCGAACACTACTTTATCTTATAGTGATGTCACGTTTCGTTTCCAATTTCACTGCTAGTAGTTCACTCATACGCGTAGAGAGCTAGCTTTCACCAAAGCTTCTGCTACCCTTTCGCGATGCTTTTCAGTTCACCCGACCATCCCATCATGTGTGTTACTTTGACCTCTCGTTGTGTGTGCCAACTTAAACCCCAGTGTTCTGTTTGTGTTTTGTTTTCATTTCTTCCTCTCCCTGTACCTAATTTTCCTCTCCTTTCTTTTGTTTACAGCAGAATCAATGACGGCACGATTTCAACTTTATTGAACAGTGCTAGTGACATTAAGTGATATTAGAAATAGGCATGTGTATAGTGTTATTACGTATTTATAGTTACTTTTTTTTAATTTTAATCCCTAATTAAATATACGTACGTTTATATTTGTGTTTGTTTTTACCCGCTTTTCCTTGGAATCCCTGCTTATTTGTATGGGTATGTGACACTGCGTTGATATCGTACACATGTGCGTGTGTGTGCGTGTAGGTGCGGGCTCACGTTCGCAAAGAAGACGGGCGCACCCAGGCTTACGGTTGGAGCTTGCCGAGCAAGAGCGGTCAAGGGCCTAAAGGCCCCAGCTCTTGCACCTCACTGTCATCTGGTGGGGTCCCCGTACCCGTGCCAGTGTTTTGCAGGTACGTAATATTACCATTACTTACTTTATTATTTTTGTAAGTCAAATTTCTTATGAATTCAATTACTACACAGTATATACTGCAATGAAAAATTCATAGATGTTATAAATAATTTAAATGAAATCTTTGGAATATGTAGTTTTACTAAATGCGTTGAAAACTTTTACTCTAATAAATCTTATACATTTCAGACCAATAGCAGAAAACGAGCCGCGTATGACGCTGTTATGCGCCGCTGCCGTCAATCTGAACGGAGGCCGAACTCCCGACGGTGGATGTATGGTTGGAGAGAGCGTCTTCTATGCGAACCCAGAGGATAAAACTGAGAACACCATGTCGCTTGGTAAATATAACTCCTTTATCGTTATTACCACCTTATCAATCGCAAGTCGTTGCCTGCTAACCGTGGTTTAATTAAATCCACGTCAGATAAACATTTATAATTAATTTAATAAGTATTACGTATTTTATTCTGGATAGCTTAAAATAGCTGTCAGATCTCTGTTTAGTAACCTGTGTCGTTCTTTCTGGATAATTTCGATTGCTGAACGAAAAATGTAATGATACTGAGTTGTTGACGATGTTGACATTATCAAAATTGCAAAGCTACCATGACATTAATTAAAATATTTCAACGAATTACCAACAAGCAACTACTTTTTTTTAAAGTCGGTTAATAAGAATTTTCTTAGGAATATGAACGTCGCGGTCATCCCATTCTCATGCATAAGGGTCCGGTTTCGAAACCTGCCAAGGCCAAGTACCAATGTGACTTTTTCCGAGATATATGTTTTTTCTAAGATTATTTAGACACCACTGACGGTGTAGGAAAATATCGTCAGGAAACCTGGGTTTATAATTTATAATTATAAGTTTGGAATCACCATCGGATTGAGCAAGCGTGGTGATTATTGCTCAAACCTTCTCCGTGTGAGAAGAGGCTTTGCTCAGCAGTGGACATATTTTATAGGCTGTTGATGACTGATGAACGTCGCTTTTTGTGATAGCGTACGAGATGAACAAGGCTCAGTCGGTGCATTCGCCAGAGGTGGAGGAAATAAACCAACAGTTGCAGTCCACACAGAGCGTTGAGTATACAGAGAAAAACCTATCTTCTCTCGTTTGGATATGTTCCAGCAACCAAAATAAAGGGATTGTTATGGTAAGATTTCTAAGCACTTTCCTTCATCTATGTTTACAGTTAGTGAATCTTAGCCAGCGAAACTATTCTAATCTTGATATAAAAGGTTATGTCTATATCTATGTGTAAAAAAGAAAAATGTAGGTATCTAAACGGGCAACATTTGGCACTATTTTCAACTAATTATGTAGTCAACTAATTTTAATGGTAATAGCAAAAATGTATGGATTAATGACTGGGAGTCATTATTACGGTTGCATAGTATTATAATGTGTACAATATTACCGACTGCATTGTGCGGAAAATATGAGCTGTTTAAAATCCTGAGAATCCTGTTACTGAGAATTAAATCGAGGAGACCAACATTACTTTGTTTGACTATACTCAAGTTATCTGAACATAACATCACCCTTTTCATCCCCGAAGTGTGAGGCAGAGGTGCGCATTACGGCACTTAATGCCACTGTACTGTACTGTGTTACATGAACACTCACTTTTCACTATTTATGTTATGAATCCCATGTAACAGAGCGTATTGCCATATACCGGGCACAATTTAAGACTCCGTGCTACCACTGAGAATATTTTTAATACCCAGTAATACTTTACCCAACCCGCGAATCGAACCCGAGACTCCTTGCCCGGCAGTTGTACTTGCGACTACCTCGCCAAAGGGGCAGCAATTTATTACTTGCTGTAATTATAAAATTCTTCTAGATTATCGATGCGAACAATCCGGCTGAGGTTATAGAATCGTTCCCGGTGACTGACAAACACATTCTGTGTGTTGCGTCTGTGCCCGGCGCAGTCGCTGAGGACTACCGTGATTACCAAGAAAGAGCCGCGGGAGCCGTTGATAAACGTCATACTGTAAGTAACAATATATATTGTAACATGTACGATGAGATTGCCATTTATTTCTTGATAAAAATCCTAAAGCAAAATAAGAATAAAAAGAAGAAATAATACCATATTTTCTTCTCTTTATTTAGAAGGTTTCTGTAGTAGGTTTTGTTTGACAGATTGTTTATGTAATACCTATGCATTGTAATGGAAAACTAATCTTTCAGTTTATCCTCTTTTCCTATTACATCACATCTTATCAATAGCTCAAGACAGTGTAGACTGTCTTCTTATGTCTCTTATGTTGCCCATAAGCGCGTCTTATGAACTGCTAGAATACCTAAAAAGCGTTTGCCATAATATGGAAACTGAAGATTTCGTGGCGAGTATGGCGAATCTTCTGATCTATAAAGAGACCCATAGTCAAACAGAAGGTCATGACTTAATGTATTGTTTTTTATATGTTGTATTATTAAGTACCTTCTTAAATTGTTTCCTTGTTACAGTATGGATTCGGTGCCGGCAGGGTGGATTCTGTAGACGTACACAATAAGCCTAATGTCACCGACGAGAACGGCGACTCAGACACATTTGTCGTTGGAACTACTCGCTTAGTAAGTTTGTAATAGTAAATATATTTTTGAAAATATATTCGAGGGAGCAGTGGGTTCGGATATACGCCATATTAAAAAGTCTCACACTGATGCTCAATCTGCCTAACTTGGACTACCCCCTGCGAAAGCACAAGTGTGTGCCCAAATACAAATGCAATGTCTTTTCCGTAACACTTTGCAAAGCCGCCGGTCACACAACCACGCAGCAAACAGTGTAGTCGAAATCATTTCGATTTCGTCCCGCAAAACAACTTGCCATAAGGACTACTTTGGACGTATAAAGTAAAAACAAAAAAATAAAGATATCAATATTTTATTCGTATGCGCTTTCGAAGTTTGCTTTTTGCAATGGTTCAACAGTTACTTTATGTTTTAAACAATTTATTTCTCTTTAAAACTATTGTATTACCAAGACAGAAAGAACCATATTACACCGGGACAAAAACGAAATATATTTCACTGTGTATTTATGAATATTATAATTTTCAGGTAAAAGCAACGATCTTGACACCGCCGAGCACGCCAGTAAATGAGCCCGAAACTGCACCAGAACCTCAGAATCAAGAGGCACCTAAAAACAACGAGGAGCCTGACTCTGTACACCCCGACAGCCCGCCACTCAGCTCCACGCCTATCAATGGTAAGCATATGTATTTAAAATCAATGAAGTACAAGAAACATACAATATTTAAATACATGCTTAACATTTCTTTTTTTATCGAGCATTAATTTTTTAGCCAGTTATGCGTCTATATTGCAGATGACTTGAGTTATACATGGACTGATATTATAACTTACGGACAAATCCAGGTTCTATCCTATCACGATAACCATTAAATACTTTTGTCGAACCGAGACAATCATTATTATTAAATATACTTTATAATCTGCGAAAAGTAGTTGTGTATGTGTATAGTCAAATATTTTACTCCAGCAGTCTGTGGGCTAATCATACCCAAAAAGCAGACAGCGAACTGCGCATTCAATATAATAATGCCTTCAGGGCGCTGTTGAGACTTCCATATTACTGTAGTGCGTCAGGTATGTTCGCGGATGCGAACACTGATGATTTTTTCTCGATCATGCGCAAAAAATTGTCATCTGTGTTGCGCAGACTGAAGGGAAGCAGCAACAGCGTTCTGAAGGTGTTTGCAGAAAAGCTAGAAGGGCCTACAATAGATAGATTTATCAAGTTGCATGTAAGATTTATTATAGTCCGCATATAAGTAAGATTTTCCTAAAACATGTATGTTTCTTATTCCTAGGAGGTCTTTTGAACTCTCCCGAGCCAGGGGTTGAAGCATTTGCTCAGCAACAATCAAAGACGGAGACACAACCGGAGCAGGAGCGCAAGATGTCGACTGTCATGGCGACCATGTGGCTAGGCACCAAGAGTGGCAACCTCTATGTACATTCTGCTGTTGGAAACTACAAGAAGTGCTTAGCCAGGTAAGAAAATAAAATAATTTCTTTGTTGATTTGAGACCAATGAAGTGATGCAGTCCCTATAATAATTAATTTATGTTTTATCACAGTAAACATTTCATGTAGCTTTCTGATTTTTGTATCATTTTTTCTCACAAATTGGTATAACATTACATGTGTGCTATAATTGCCCAATATTTTTGATATAGCTATTTTGTACACGTACCTTATCTTAATAATAAATGCAGAATGATTTGGTAATTGAGAATTTCTGCGGCCCAAATGTTTAATTGATTAATTTTAATACACTTTAATTTTAACCTATTTTTTGTTACAGAGTAAAGCTAAATGATGCCATATTATCCATAGTAGCTTGCGCCTCCCGAAGCATTGTAGCGCTCGCCGACGGCACCGTAGCAATATTCTCGAGACACGCGGACGGACAGTGGGACTTTGGACAGTATTGGTTGCTCACCCTGGGTGACCCTAAATGTTCTGGTAAGTTCATTTCAGGTATTTTAATAGTCAGAATAGTTTCGCCTTCTCAGACGAACAAACGTGTCATTATCAAAATTATGTTCCCAGTTCGCTGTCTAAGCGCCGTGGGCTGCACTGTGTGGTGCGGGTACCGTAACAAGGTGCACGTCATAGAACCTCGCTCTCGTCTGTTGCTGCATTCGCTGGAAGCTCATCCGCGGCAGGAGAGTCAAGTAAGACAGATGGCCTGCGATGGTGATGGAGTCTGGGTAAGTCATCACAATCACAATCAATACTCCATTAAAACTTATTGAAAACAACTTGTAACCAACGACCTCGTCGATTCGAGTAAGTAAGTAACGTTTTCAATTACTTACGTTATGTTTCAATTCATTTGAATATTTTTATTTTGTTTTAAATTTTTGAAGTGAATTTATGTAAATTTTTTACTTAGAATGTACTAAAATATTTTGAATTATCAGGTTTCAATCAAAATGGATTCCACCCTGCGTTTGTATCATGCACATACATACCAACATTTGAAGGATGTTGATATTGAGCCGTACGTGAGCAAAATGCTGGGTACTGGGAAACTTGGCTTCTCCCTAGTCAGGATCACAGCTTTGTTGATTAGTTCAGGGCGGCTCTGGATTGGTACAAGTAACGGCGTGGTAATATCGGTGCCGCTCTCAGAAGGATCTAGTCGTGATTCCATCGGACCACAACCGTCTACTTCACGGTCGCCTGCCCAAAGTAAGTAATGTAACTAAGTAAAGTATAGTAAAGAATCCAGGATGAAGACATACAAAATAACTATCTAATTCATGCAAAAAATCTACGTTTAGCAAAATCGACTACAATCGCTAACCATCAGGCGAGATAGTCGCCTAACGTCGGCCTTCAAATATATAAAAAAAATATCCTTTCGAATTTGGTTAATTAATATACTAAAGCCTTCTCCTAGGTGTAGCAAACAGTTTTCTGAACACTGCATCAAGATCTGTTCAACCAGTTGTGAGATAATCGCTCATAAACATACATATATACAGTCAAAGGTCAAAAGTTCACTGCCACTGTGAGTGATGTTCACACGGCATTGTGTAACTAATTTCATATTAATGTGCATAAAAACGCTTGCGTATGCAAAAATATGCGTGTGCATGTGTGCATAAGCGCTGCAGCGCAACCGATAGTAGTCTTACGGTGGCAGTGGACTTTTGACCTTTGACCATACATATAGGTCAAATAGAAAACTCATTTTTCGAAGTCTGTTAAAAATTGATAGAAATCTAATTTAGGATCACTACCTTAATCCGTAAATTAATTATTTTGTGGTTACATAGTTCTTTGCCTTATACTACAGTGTAATATACTTTTTGCAGCTGCCATAGCCGCCTGTCCGACTGGCAATATTCCATGGTGTTCGATGGCCCATGCCCAACTAAGCTTCCATGGACATCGTGACGCCGTTACTTTCTTCGTAGCAGTGCCCGGAGTGGCTGGATCCCCCGCACGCACTCCTGAATCTCCTCGAAGGCATTCGCCGACCATACCACCCATGTTGGTCATATCGGGTGGCGAAGGATATATTGATTTTAGAATAGGTATGTACCATTTTCTTTATTTATTTATATGTATGGTTTAATACGCGTCCTAGCAGGACCCCTCCTCATTTCAAAAAATGTCAAATTAACTTCTCAAATTATTTTCAGCACAATTTCATTTGCTTAGATATAACTTAGCAGATAAATTCTTTCTAAAAAATTGTAACACAATGTTTGCCTGTAATCATAAACAGTAACTTGCTTGCCACTAGCAAGTGTGATTTTCCATGACATAGATCTGTGATGTCAGTTGTATATCATTCACGAATTAAATTTCTAAAATTATTCTCTATTTTCGATATTACTGCGCTTGTTTGTCGGGTCTACAGAGACCCACGTGGCGGGGTTCCTATTTTTGCCTACAAGGTTTAAATTAACCTAATAAAACCGAACCTCAGGGTGTCCCTGACGTCGACGGTCATAGTAATTATAATCCATAATCATATTTTGCTATTGACCAAATCCCTTAATTACATTTCTTATGCCGGAATACTGAAGCGTTACTCAATTTTAAGTCGTGCTCAAATATCGTGCCATCTCTGCCATTTTACAAAGAATTTGTAGAGATAGAACTATACTTAAGCACCATTTAAAATTGAGTAGCGTTTCAGTATTCCGACATTAGTTATATTCTGTCGAGTGATATATTAACAAATGAAATTGCGCCTACTAAAATTATACCAGAAATTGTATTGACATTACAAAAATTTGCTAAAACTTGTTCGGATAGTGATAAATAGGAAATAAAAATTGATAAAACGCAGAATACCATCCTGGTATATGTATGTCACATTCAATTTGTAATTTCTGTCTAACTAACATTATTGATGGTTTCTACCATTCATGATTAATTGATATGAATGAACATAGAACTATTCTCAAGTTCTTTCCTATGAACAAACCATATCTAGCTCAAACTTGTACTATGTTCAACAAAGACACATACCTTGTGCTATAAATTAACAAAATATATTATTATAAATTAACGATTATACGACTATAGATTGAATGTGATAAAACGAACATCCCACTGGTGATGACAGTTTTTGTTGTTAAAACCTCGTTACTGATACTCGTCAAAATAAAACAATTTTCTTGGACAATTTGTAAAGAAAGTAACTAACCAACAATGTCACTAATACATGTGTTAATGTTAGTAATAAAATCATTGTGCTGCTATTAAATCATTTTATCATTAACATGCTAATTAACTTGTCATTGTTCAATTAAAATGTTTCATCGTGATGAGCTCTGTGAATCGATAGTTTCTTACATAACAGACACGGTTGTAGGTGGCTAGCTGTATTTCATGCCTCGAATATAATAGAAAAAATCAATGAATGAATCTTTTCATTTACAAAACATAAGTAAAAATTAATGATTAAGACTACCCTTTGCCTTTAGATTTTTAATTAATCCGTAAGTTAGATAATGGACAAATATTAGACACATATTTTTTTTGTTTCGTATAAAGTTAGATTGGAGTTATATTTAAGAGTGAGCGGTCGTTGCGACGTCACACGATATTTCAAATTAATGTATCGTAGAAAATATTTAATTGTGTGACAAAAGAAAAAATGCGTGTCCAATGTTTTAAATTAATCTACCAGACGGACATTAAAATTACATTTAGGAAACTACCATATGTTAGGTAGTAGTGTAACCGTACCAAACAATATCATAATGTAACATCTTTAATTGCATATTATTTAAACAAATATTTTAATACATTCATCAGACATACAAATTAATAAAATTGAATAGTAGTTTAATGAATACTTGTGCATTATAGAGCATGTAGTAAGGTTTATGTTTAACATACCCTCTAATAGATTGGAGCCAGAATACTGAAACGTTACTTAACTTTAAGTTGTACTTAAATATCGTGCCATCTCTGTCGTTTTATAAAGAACTAGCTTCTATCCGCGACTTCTTACGTGCAATCCCGTTGCTCCCGTTCTCGTAGAATTTTCAGGACTTTTGTCTATCATAAGAACCTTCTCCTGACAATAACAAACACAACAAAAAAGAAATCAGCCAAATCGGGCAAGCCGTTCTCAAGTATGGCGTGACAACGGGAAACGGGTTTAATTTTTATATATATAATTATAGATTTATAGTGACAGAACTGTACTTAAGCGTAACTTAGAATTGAGTGGCGTTTATGTATTTCAGCGTGACCTCACGGTATCATACATTTACAGATTCAGATTACAACAATGGGGCCTATTGTATTTTAAGCGCTTTAGATTGCGCTAGTGTGCTAGTACACTCTCGTTCTTCGTCCAATAAGGAATTAGCTAGTGGTACACCATTGGGCGTTCAATATTTCACAGCTGCTGTCATTGGACTAAAATACCCCTAGCCACATTTGCGCCATCTATTGAGCAAAAATAAACGTTAGCCCCATTAGATTCACAATAAACACATAACCATTTTAATTTTTTAATACAGATTACAGTCACATCGACAAAAAACATAATAAAAGCGCTAGGTAATCAGAAAACGTTAATAAAACTCAGTCAATTATAAGCTATTTTAAAACGATTTAAACAAGTCAAAACAAGCAATATGCACGTTAGTGTAGACACTCATCCCCATTAGTAAGCTTCGCTTAGTAATAGTAGACTTACTTAGTTAATACGCTTGTACGCTTGTAAGCATAGACTTAAGACTGGTTCTATTTAGACGTAGGAGTTTTATCATAAGGATTTGTGCCTATTGTTTGATTTGAATTCCAGGTGTTTTCTACTAAAATTCGTTTTTTTTTTGTTATTTTATGTTTCTAATTTTTGTTTTGTGTCTACTTTTTATTTGAATATTACACTCTCTTCAACAGTAAAGTAATTTGCAGTAGAGTAAAGATCATATTTGGAAGATTTTTTTTATTGCTCTTGCTCTTAACTCTGAAAAAAGTTATTGTCACATTGAACGAGTCTCACACGCAATTGAGTAACATCTCAACTAACGGCTTTAGTAGAAAACGCCGTCATAGGCATAGTACAGTTAATGATTTTAATTTCCCCGGTTTTTTTCTTTTGCCGATATAGAAGAACACGCTGATGACTTGCGCGACACTGCCTCCCACCTCATTGTTTGGCAAGTTCTAAGAGAGTCCTGAACGTACCTGAACGTAGCATAATTAATTAATATTTATTACTGGTACGTTGAATTTTAGAATAAAACCGCCGATGTTCGCTTGCTGACACATAACACCAAAGCTAACATGAGCATGTAGTTCACGGTAATCATCGACAGTGGGTCTTATTGAGGTTTTGACAGTTATATCCCGTATCATTTCGTATATCAGTTTAATTAGATTTTTCCTCGCCTTCAGTTTAGAAGTTTGTGGGAAACAAACACTTATTCACCGCTCATAAATGGTATTATAAACTGTTTCTGTATGTAACGTAAGACATCTCTGTCAAGACCTCACCTTCATATCATGAGTTCACACATATCAGACTCATCCTAACTTAACTCACCACTAAACCATCACTAACAGGTCCTCGGTGTAACACTGTCCATCAGAAGGTGAGCACGATGTTACATAATTCTAGCTTATCAATTATGTATGTCTTAATATATTGCTAACGTGTATATTGCTAATACCAGTATGTATAGACGTGTAAATATTAACAGAAAATGTTTATGTTTGATGTACACTACAGAGTAGTTCGACGATACTTAACAGCAATTTTGAAACTGTTATATCTCTTCGCTTAAACAATAAAACCTATATATACGTAAATAACTTTGAAATTCTGCAAGATTACTGTTATTTTTAAATTTTGCCATGTTTTAGCTAAAGTTTTGGAGATCAGCAGCAGGAATGGAGTTGTTATAAGAAGTATACAGTTAGTTTATTACGCATAATGTGTAACATTTAATCGCTTTCTCACGTGTTTCTTAGAGTGATTAGAGCACTTCGTAAAATACGTGTTAGAGAGCAACTATTGAAGAGCCGTCTTTGTTGTGAACATTATTTTGTTATCACTGCAATAGCACCACATGTATTTTTACTGTGTCATCATTTTTACACATTACCATCGTCGTTTGTTATTTGGTTATGTGCTCTGTTACTATATTTTATTTTCTAGACATGTCTCATACCCGACGTGGGCAATGGTAAATGCAGGTGCATACTTACTCGTAACAAGGGGAATGTGTGATGTATTATGTCGATGGAGAAGACTAGTACTACAATGATGATGTTTATAATAAATCGTGATTCGTTTCATTTGCAGCCGACTCGGAAATGGAAGACAGTGTAGTAGTCGCGGAGGACGGATCATCGAGTGGTCACAGTTCTTTGGCCGACCGGGCTTCCAAGAGCCATTTGATAGTGTGGCAAGTTGCGACCGCCTAACGCAGGGCCAGCCGTGTGCGACTTGACTCCGATTCGGACTATGTGTATGTGTGTACGTCCACCAAACCAGCGACGCTCATCAACGCGTAAGTTACATCATAATTTTATGATGTAAATAGGACGACGGTTATGGAGATGCATGGAGTAGACATGTTGTTATTTTGTAAAGTTGAACAATGTTCTGTGCATGAACTGTAGCAGTGGTGTTCAGTCAGTGTCAGGTATATTGGGATATTCAGGTTACAGAAGCAACTAAAACACCAAAATATCGGTACACAGTACATACAAAGTTACCATTTATATAGCTTCGCCCAAAGCGTCGTAAATATCTGTGCACACACACTGTGCAAACACAATTTTGGCGTTTTAATTGCGTCTATACCTTTGAGTATCCTGAATGTTCCTGTGTGTTAGATGCTGACTGTAGTAGTTATTTAGTTGATGTCTATTTTGATACTACTATATGTTTAGTTACCTTTGTTATTATTTAAGTGAATGTATTGTTTTATTTGTAATTATTACATCAAGTTATTATGTATACTATGATAAGTCACAAAACCATACTAAAGAGTAAGTTTAACGGTTCAACATGGAGCCTAGTATAGGTAATGACTAATATGTAATAGCTTAATGTGAAAGTTTTATTTGTTACGTCTATGTTCACCAATGTGTTGTATCCAGTATTTAGTTCACATTTATGCTCACATCTCCAAACCGTCGAACAAAAGGATCAGCGAAGTGTCGGTCGATCAGTATTTTCAGTAATGTTTTATATCTTAGGAGTTCGGTTGCAATCGCAATTAGGAATTGATTTATGTGTTGGTCCTTCGTATCCATTTTTATCCTATTTGACATTACTTATTAATATAGGATATGCGTGTATCTGGAATTGATAACATCAGGATTACGCAAACATTCGTTATATCTCGTCTTAGAATAGTTTATCAGTATAAACTCTATCATGATGTAATGTAAGTCTCTTAAAGTCATCTAAGAAATTAGTTCCCGTAAATGTAAGTTCATACATATCCTAAATTAATGAGAAATGTGTAACTAAATGTGTTGATCATGTCTCACTACACACGTCATCGCTCGTCTGCAATCGATGTCTCACACGGCATTATACACTACTACATTGTATCATTCATATAGTACTATGTGTGCTTAATATTTAGCTATATTTCTTGGCGCTATAGTCCTTAATATTGCTCACGTCAAGAGTCGTTTGGCCGAGGGAGATATATTTTCTTTACATCATGTCTACCTCGGTACAAGCTTAATCTCATTAAAATTATGTACAAGATGTAACCACCAAATAATACGTTTTAGTAGTGTTAGTTAGATTAAATGAATATATTGAACATTTTTATAATATAGGTACGCAATAGTGATTAACTTCTCAAGGAATGTGACCATTTGAGCTGTGGTTGTCATCGGCATCACAAGTTTAGAACTTTAATTTATTATTAGAATTTTATTTTATTATGTAAAGAAATGAAATTATTTTTTTAGACGTGTTGCGGTGTACTTGCGTTTATTGACTATCAGTTTAATCTGAAACGTTTTAAAAATATATGTACACGGGATGATGAATTTGTAATCAACTTTCTCCGAATAAAATTTTGTATCAATATGATATAGGAATGACTTGGAAAGGAGATATGTTGTACCAAGTAACTATAGTCGTCACAAAATAAGAGGTTAACTCTGACATTTGTCAGGCTATGCCAGTATATAGAGTACATTGCAGACTATAACATACCATGAACGGACACTTAAAAAATCGAATTCATAATATTTATTCGTTACTACGTTATTCATATATTTTAATAAAGAATATAAATTATAACTATTATAGGACAATGCGAAGTATGACCAGTTGTTCTTGGTTAACCGTTTCCAGATCGAGCGTAGGTATTTCATATTTACAAAAATGGGATATTTTAATAGATTTGGTATATGAACTTTGTACTACAATATATTAAAAAATGAAATATCGAAATTGAAATATATATTTTTTGGTTTGGATAATGAACTATTATTATAAACTATTATTTAATTCTATATAACTTAGAAATCAGTGACAAACAGCGTCCGATCTTATTTACCTCTCCCTTCATGGCAGCTGTCAGACTTGACCTCTTATTTTGTGACGACTATAAACTATGCTTATGTAATATAATTAATTTATTAAAAAATGACATGAAATGTGTATACTTAATGAAGTACAACGCAAGTGCACCAAGACAAGGTAAGTTGTAAAGTTTTATTTTGACTGAATCATAACATTTGCTATTTAATTTTTTTTTTTTTGCTGGTGTTATTTTTTTATTAAACGACTAATGGTGCATAAATAGATTAGGTATATATTGTTCTATTTTATTCACTGTGGCACATGTGAATGTAGCCTGCAGTAATGTTTGACACTTTAATGACATTTATATTCTTCTATACTGATGGAATATCCTTCTAGGCCGCACGTTACATGAAAAGCGGTACAGGCACGGGTCCTGGTTTCGAACTTGCATTCAACCTAAAGTCGGTTCGAACCTTAGTTCCCAGTTTCTCAAAATTTTATCAATTCTATTTGAAACTAATACATGCCAGTTGCCGTGATGATCGAATCAAACGACTTATACCACATTCATAATTATTTGTTTATTTTTTAAATATGCATCATGCACAAAATGTACAAATAGGTGGACTTAATGCCGTAGACATTTTCTACCAGTCTCACCTTTGGGTGCTTGAATTTGGGTGAATTATACTTCGTTTAATAAAAGAAACCTACGTACTGACGTTTGACATTTTAAGTTACTAGGATTGTAGTAATGATGGAATCGTGTAAAATATCAATTGGGTTATTTTTAAGGATATAGTCTATAAACAACGAAATTAATTGGCAAGAATTTAAAAGCCGCTTATTACATATTGTCAATTTTAACATTAAGGTTAAAATTGTATTTACGGCTGACTACTACCTCGTTGGTTCCGCAATTCCATGAAAAGGGTAACCTTCCTATGCAAAGCTTGGCGTAATTCGTTTTATTTGATCACCATGGCGACTGGCATGTGTTAGTTGCAAATTCATTTGATAACCCTCTGTGAAACGGGTTTGTGCCCGAATCTGAAGCACATTTCGTGTAACGTCAGCATAATTTTAATTTATAATCACATTAAAATATTTTTGTATATACTTTGGCACATTTTCCCCTCGATGTGTACTCATATTATATTGGAAATTATTATTATTATAGAGGTTTAATTAGTGCTATATGAAATCATAAAATAAATATATTAAGTTATTAAACAAAAGATTACAGCAAACGCTGGTTGAGGGTGGAATTATTTGAATGAAAACAGCTTTTTACCGCATGTGTACTTTCATTTAACAAAAGGGTCGATGATAATCGATATATTCTGTTGTGTGCAATTTTTGGTAGACTTTGCCGTTTGGATCAGTGCAATACACAATATTATAGTTTAGCATCACTTTCACGTTTGTATATTTTAGTTTGTATCTCACTCGTAGATCATGTTTACTGTTTAGACCTGTATGCCTGCTTTCGCACATATTTCTTGACACATACTAATTTGTCATATATATACTCTACAACATATTCTACTTTACACTTTTTGTCTGTATTTGTCCTGGTTTGTCAAGTATTGCAATATTTTATTTAAATATTTATTAATATTATTAACTCCCTTATCTACACTATGATAGTCAGTAGCAGATCAACAGTTCGTAATCCGTAGACATTGGTATTATATTCCGATTTTAAAATTTAAATAAATAATTAAATATAAATCCATATTACCAGTAGTACTAGGTTCTTTTGTGCCTAGAATGAAGTTCAGTAAGATAGATAAAACACAGTAGGTAGACTTTGAGGTACGAGATGGCTACGGGTAAGTTACAATGACGACTGTTGCTAAATAAGAAGCAAACAGGTTGCCATTAAGTGCCACTCGTATCTTAAAACCTATCTTAAATATAGAACAACACACATATTATCAATAATACATATTCCAATAGTAGCGTACACGTTTGAAATTCTACATTACACAGAAAAAATATTTCAAAAACAATTCTAGTGGTAATTTTAGTGTAGATAAAGTTAACAGTACGATAAATAATATCTAAAAAGTACGCGTTTTGTTTCCATTGGCCAGTTTTAATCCTGAACCATCGTTGACTGTAAGTGCTAGTCAAAATATCGACATAGTGATGTAAATTTAGATAGGCTTACATTGTTTTGCTAACGTAGCTGTAATTGAGGTTAACAATCACGCAGTACTTGCTGTTTGCCGCGTAGACACTCCATTGCGGCTTGTCTGCTCCGCTCATGCGCGGTAAAATTGCATCGGTACGATTGTGATAACATTATGAATTGACTTGTTTGAGGTAGGGCACACGATCATCGTGTCAGATTTCTTCGCACCATTCGTTTGTTCCGTACTGTGCGGCAGACTTAAGTTGGAACTTGGGTCTTGTCGCAATAATTGGTTGGGCAAGTCCCACTAGATAGGCTGTGGTTAGATTTGACTTCGTCCAGAAAAGAATCTATTTTCAAATTGTTCGCTGACGTGCTAAATAAAACTGAAAGGCCTCAGCAGCTAGCCTGGCATATACAACTTAGCGTTTTCGAGGCTGTAGCCAGCTCGCACTAGGTTGGTATGCTTGATCGTTCGTCACCTGGCAGAATAGTGCGAATTTCACTTTGTACTCGATGTCTGTTGCTGATACGTAATGTAAGCGACGATTGCCTTTTTAACCTTAGTTAGGGAAGCTAGTCTCCGGTGATTCGGTAGTACGAGTGTGTAGAAATGTCCAACGTCTATCCATCTTATAAGTTTTGCAGTGACCACGCATGTGCGGTTTTAAGGTGGTCTCTTACAAGCGGTCATAGATGCAAAAGTTACCGCGTGTGCATGGAACTTAACGTATAATATGACTGAAAAATCAATTAGACATCTGATATTTATATAGTTAATTGATTGATATTTATTTGAATTTTGTACTTATTTTTGTAATAAATATTTCTCATTTCATTTGGACACTGTACTTGTAAACATATGAACTCTAAGACACTACACATGTTTGTATCAACTAAGAAGTTCTTGTGACACGAGTATTGAAATGAAGGGATTCTATATACAAGTTTGAAATTGTAATAAATGTATTGGATTAATTATATTGCTCTCAAATCGATGTTTTAGGTATACACTGGAACTTCTTCGTTCATATGACCACTTGCTAATCGTATATTGGCTAATGTAGTTTAATATGTGTTTAAATAATAAATAATATGAGCAAAGAGACGAGATAAATGTACCAGTGTCACTAGGACGCAGCACTAAATGTTTATTGATACGAGTAACCTGACACTCAAATATAAAAAATAATATTTGAGGGTGCTGCGTTAGAGTTGTCTTATAATTTAGTTCGTCCCATTTGCTCATTTGTGACATGCTGTCTCAGTGAAATTTGTCTAAATCAATTTGCCTTATACAGAGTACCTATTTATACCAAATTAGCAATAATATTAATAAGTTTGAAAATTTACTTGAAATTATATTTTTTTTTCTAAATTAATTTATGTATTTTTATACTGTTTTTTCGGAGGCAAAAACATCACATTTTAGTCATATTAAACGTAAAAATGTCATGTAATAATACTATATTGATTACTGATACTTTTTCTGTTTTAATTGCAATTAAAGATGCTGGAAATTATCCCCATTGTTTTATTTTATTAGAGGCCGGGTAGAAATCGAACAGATTAAATATGGAACACATATAAATGTTCGACACTGAGTGTAAATTCACCTATTTATCAAAAAATATCTTTATTTAGTTCAATTGCGGATCAAGTTGCAAATACAGTGTGTGGTGTGACTAGTGCTGTCTTAAGTGGTGTGGGTGCGTGTGTAACTATGCAACTTAGCAACGAGGCGAAGAGATGCGGTGCGAGTGGTCGCTGTATTCGTCCACTTGCTGCATTTGTCGCTGCATTTGTCGCTGCATTCTACTGTGAATTAAGGTAAGTAAGTAGTTACCTTGACTTTATTTGTCTACTTAATCATGAGCTGGCAAAATTGTGCGACTTATGTCCAAATACTCAAACGCTACTCCATTTTAATACGCGCTTACTACTCACTACAAATTCTTTGAAAAAGGACAGATACCGCGATATTTCAGTACAACTTAAATTAGAGTAGCCTTTCAGTATTCGGGCGTAAAAGCAGTCGTTTTGGGTAAAACTGGACCAATTGCTTAAAAACACCATACCGTGAACAAACACTTTTTGTATTTCTACATCTGAACTCTGTTGTTATAGTGTTTTGGTATGGACAATCGGTTTGCCTTATTTTTCAATATTCCCCAGTCAAAAGTTATCCTATCACAAACTCTTTTTTGCTTTTATAACAAAATTTAATCCAGCACTCGTTTTATACAGTCTGGCAAACGAAAGTAGAGACTGAAAAAGCCCGGCAAATTTAAAAAATATCAGTATAGCAACCCAAAAATTAGTATGTCATACCTGTAGTAATCAGACGTGAAGACGTAACAAACAAACAAATTATTATAAAGTATCAAATTAGGTTACTCCAGGTATGACATACTAATTTTTGGGTTGCTATACTGATATTTTTTTAAATTTGCCGGGCTTTTTCAGTCTCTACTTTCGTTTGCCAGACTATAGCAATCTCTTCTTGAACTAACCACAGAAAAATGAAAAATACATGTACCCGGACTTAAAGTTATGAACCCCTACGGGACAAAAGTGTATGTAGCTATATGCTCATAAAGACTCAATTTTGCACGGTCTTGGTCTTATTTTATCCAGAATTACTGTATTGCAACATTTATGTTCACATATTCAACTAGTTTCTTCCATTACAACCAAATTGGAGTTATATTTAGTAGACAAATAAGGGTCAATTTTGCATGTACAGTTAATCAGTAATTTTGTCGAAGATTCTGACTC